CCCAGGCCCTCGTAATTAATTGCCCTTTTGGCAAGACCCGGATCACAACCGGTGCGTGCCTCACACACGCATACCTTTGCACACCACCACTCTTCTCGATTCTGTTTGTGGGTTTGTCACCTGTTTTCCCCCTTCTCATACCCTGTCCCGCTCCACCACTCACTACTCTGCGGCCGAGTAATAAACATATAAGTCAAACACATCTACGTATTTGCTAGAGACGAGATCCCCCCCAATACCCGCGCCCGCCGAAAGGAAGACCGCAAAAACGCCTAATTTGTTATTTTGTCCTCCCGGGCAATGTCATTTTTGTTGGAGGGAGAGGGCGGGTGCCCGCAGAGGACCAACGCCAATTCTTTCGTTGGTGCGCGCGAAGTGGCATTCAACGGCTTTTAATTATTCTTCGGTTTTTTTCTTTTCTAAGAAGCCCCCCCCCCCCCCCCCTTTTTCTGTCACAAACCGACCTCCCAAAAAAAGAAACGAAGCATCGCAGTATCACAGCACATCACATCACACAGGAGAAACAGAGATCTCGCCCTGCTGCTTGCCCGCCTGTGCAGTGTGATAGACCAGGTGTGGGTCTGTCTTTCGTTCGAGCTTGGGTCGGTTTTAGGTGCACTTGGTTCACGTAACACAAGAAGACTGCGTATAACTCGTAACGAGGTTCCTCTTTTGGGCCCCCCGGTAGGCCAAACTCTTGCATCTTTTCTTTTTTCTTTCCCGGACAAGGGGCTGTGGCAAGAAAAAAACCTATGATAAGAGAGATTATTCCGACGGAGAGAAAGGCGTTCGTCTCCTCTCCTACTATCAGCGCAGGGCCGCACACGGGTGTACGAATTATGGCGTACCTATCCGTACCGACTGGGTCGACATAATCATACACGTATGTACGATATTAGGATGTTCCCCATTATGAATGAGCGTGGACGTTGATCTGTAAGAATTATTTTACAGAATACCATCCCTTGCAGTTTCCTTCAGTCCCACTCGTCTTGCATCTGATCTCATCCTGCGGCTAGCTTGTTTTGTCTTGCCCTAGGAAATACCCCAACGGCTGCATGTAACCGCCGTGTAATTTTTGTATATATTCATTGCTAGTACGGAATACACCACGGCCTTGGAATTTGGATACCTCACCTCCAAGGTAGTAGTTAACTGGGAGGGAGGTTCGTGCCGCGCCCATCGAAATGGAGCTGCGGGAGCCCCATGAGAAAGGCAAAAGGGGAGGCTGGTGTAACAGCACTCGAGACCGGGAATGGGCCTGTCGGCAGTGGAAGAAAGAGTTGCCGTGCTAATAACGATTCAATATATCTGGGGCCTAATCTTTTCCCCTGCGCCCAGCCGAATCGCGCGCGACAGCATCGGAGAGAAAACAAAAAGAAATACGGTCTCACAACCTAATAAGCCAATGTGTGTGCGCGCGCGCGCCTGTTGTGCCCATCCCGTCGACTTTTGACATATGCACATTCTGAGCAGGGAGGGGGGGAAAAGGACAGACGAAAAAGCATCAGTTTTCCTTTTCCAACCCCTCCTCCCCGAGAGGAAAAGAAATACATCCTTCTTCTCCTCGTCCGCTACAGCGACTCTCAAATGTTCATTTGCGGCTTGGCGGACAGGGGGCAAGCTTTGGTCGTACCACTCAGGTACCTCACTTCCACTCCTTTCGCGGGGAACGCTCAACCTTGCAGGTGCAGTCTGCAAGGCCGTGGGCCCCACCTTTCCAGGGCCCCCGGCCAAAAGTACCCTCAAGTACCTTTGGGAGCCTGCCGGGTTCCGTTGCTGTGCCGTTCCCCAGCTTTCTTTTCGCACTCCTGCGCTTTTGCGGGCGCTCTGCTGGAAGTTCAGGGTCCGCCCGCCTGGAGAAAGGGTACGCCAGTCCCCGGGCGAGGTACTTGCGGCACATTGGTACAAAAAGAAGCTGGTGTGGGGCGACAGGGCAAGTGCCAGAAATGCCCGTGCCGCTAGCGCTGCAACGAATGGGATGCGAGTACCAAACTTCGAAGGACTCCACCCGACTGGCCGCAGAACAGAGAACAAGAGCTCCCCCCCCCAGGCTGCGCCAAGTCTCCAATGGGCAGCGGAGGTGAGCCGTGTGTAGGTGGTCCTGCTGCTGTCTCTTGCTCCTTCCCGCCTGCCGCAGTGCGCGTTGCTGCTGCTGATGTTGCTGCTGCTTCCTGCCAAAGGAAAGGGCGACAGAGTGAGAGAGACACAGAAGCTTCTGTTCCGGCAGCCACTGGTCGGTCGCAGCTACTGGCTGCACTGCGCTGCGGATAGTCACTTGTCACTGGTCAATTGGGGTCTTGCGGAAGGGTCCCGTCCCCTCACTTTCCATGTCGTCTCCTCTGGTGGTCTCTTGTTTGTCTCTTTCTGGCCATCTCCAATTCTCAGACACGCAACTATTGCCTCGAGTACCTTAGTTGACCTCGATACGGGCGGTGGCCAGGCCAGGCCGCCCGTCGTCCCGTCTCTCTCTGCCCAATTCATCCGTATACATTCAAGCCCAATTCCCGGAGTGGAGGGGCAGAAAAGGGCTCGATTCCCGCTCTAGTCTGGCTCGCTCGCTCGCTACAGGAAGGGCAAAGTGCCCTGCGATGCAAAATGTCCAGCACTTACTCGGCCATTTGGCGCTAGCAGGGACGAGGGGTGAAGGCGAGTTTGAGAGAGAGCAAGCAGAGGCAGAGAGAAAGAGGGAGATGGACAGGGACGGAGTAAGACCCGGAGGGAGTGTACATACAGAATTACACGGAACTGACTAATGCAAGAAGTAGAGTCCCAAGGTAGGCAAGGTATGTACAGTACATACTGCGTACCGAACGACAACTCCCCTCTGGTGCAGCCCGTATTGAACATACAATACAATGGACAGGAATAGGCAAATCCGGCGTCTTGCCAGGCCACATGCTTCCTCCCCGTCGGTTCTGCTGGTGGTAGTGCTGCTTAAGGTAGTCCTGGACTCCTGTTGACTTAATAGGCAATTTCTTTGGTTTCGGGCACTTTTCCTATTCCCCATTGGGGCGCGGGTGGCGGCGGTGACTTGCCTCTTTGAGGAAAGCGCAAGGGAAAAAAGCAAGAGCTAGGGTTTGGGGCTAGGGGATTCCCACCACCCAGATAGACAACTAGAACCAGAAGCAGAGCGCCGCCGGAGCCAGCCCAGGCTTGGTTGTTCCTGCTGAATTGCATTTGGCAGGAACCGAGGAGGAGACAAATCGATGGGCCGGGGCTAGCGAAGCTGGCAGCCCGCTACCCCTACCCTGGGCTGGATGGGATGGGCTTGTTCTGGTTCTGGCTACCATTCCGTCCTCTCGTCATGTCATCGTGGCCAGCGGACCACGGCCCACTCTCCACTGGCAGCTTCGGCAAGGTTAGGTAGGGAGCTCAAGGCTGTGGCACCTCGATCGCGTCGTCGCTGGCCCCATCCCCGTCCCCGTCCGTCCCTACAGTTCGTTCACACCCTGGCCAACCTAGATAGCTTAGGTTGTTACCTACCCCTACACTGCCTACCCTACGCACGCTATCTATCGTACTCGGAGACCACCCAGCAGCACGCAGCACAAGCACAGGACAGCCAGTCTAGGTATCTATCGCACCCTCCCTCATCCTCACCCTCACCCTCGCCCTGACCTTCCCTACCTTACCTTACATAGGTACACTACGCAGTACATATCACCATGCTGCGGACTTCCCGGGCCATTTGAGCTTCTCTTTCTTGCCCTCTGCCGATCCTCCACTGCTGCTTCCCCGTTGTTGACAGCCCGGCCCTAGCAAAATCTCAATCCCACTCTCATTCTTCCTTCCCTTCTCTGGGTACACACGCACCCTCCCTCGGCTTTCATCTGTACTGTATGCGTATACACAGTATTCGGCCGCATCACATCTGGACTTCCAGGACTAGGTAACTTAACTTAGTTACTCTAGAAACGCTCTGCTGCAGCAACAAACGTGCACCGTGGAGCCTCTGCCGTCAACCGTTCACCTCAACCGTCAACCGCCCACCCGCCCACCAACGCTACGTCCTGTCAGTCACGGCTCCATCCTGACAAAACATACAGATACCTATCTAGGAAGTAGACGCAACGCCATAGCTGCCAAGCAAAGGGGGAGGAATATCGAAGCCGTCTCCTGCGCGTATGCTTGGGCGTTTTCCCTTGCGACGAGATAGCTCATCAGTCACATTTTGGGCCGTCCGACTTACTCAGGGATTTTTTATGGCAACATCGAGTCGAGGAGCTATTCCCTTTCAGTTTCGACGAGGACACCCATCTGCGTCCGTCTTGGACCGAAGGAGATCGCCGCGTCCACAGGGGCCCGACCAGCCCGCCTTGATCTCATCATCGGCTTCTGTAGCAGTATAGTATCGGGGGGGGGGGCCTACCTACCTTACCTTAGTCCTGCGTAGTTGCAGCAGCAGCAGCAGTAGTAGCGGCAGCAGCGCTCGAGCATCCCACTCCACCAGAGACGCACCCCAACCCAGACCTGCACGCCAGGGCAACGAGGGACAGACAGGCCAGGCCAAGTCAGCGAGACAAAAAAAAAAAAAGAAACTCGAGGTTGCAGCACTGTTCCTGGGATACACGCACCCGCAGCAACCTCAGGTGTGCGCCCAGGCACTTTGTGCCGTCTTGTCGTTGAACCCCATCCATCACCACCCTCTCTCTCTCTGTACGGAGTACCTACCCTCCACCTCCACCACACACATCCCCCCCTCTCTCCCCACACCCGGCCACTGGCCTCTGAGAGGGCAGCCGACCCCCGAGGTATAGAGTCCCTGATCATATAGCCTCATCCAGCGCCACCGCATATCTCAATACGCCCAGATAGCCCGCAACCCTCGTTGGATCCCATCTCGTCCGCTGCCGGCATCAATACCGCCGACTCTGGTCACGGTCCAGATCTCTCCTCTGTGCGTGCGTATACATAACCCACGAGGCCACCCCTCCCAACCCGAATCCCTTCCACCCTATTCGGACCCTGTTCCTGCATCGCATTGCCTGGGCATCTCGTTTGTATTCCTGAAGAGACAGAGAAACAGACGTCCTAGGTCAAAAAGGTGATCCCGACAAACGTCAACAAACACAAACGTCACCCCGTGTTGAGTTTCCGCCACCCGTTGCCTCTCCACAGCTCCAGCCCTACTCACCGGACTACCAGGGTTGACGACACTTGTCGCGCGTCTGTCTGCTTGTCTCACTGTCTCGGTCGATCTCAGAGCTTTGGAGACACGCCAGCAAAACCCACGACGACTGACGAGCTGCAAAAATAAAATAAGAAAAGCAAAGACTTGAATTTCCCACGGCAAACCGGCCATCTCATAAGGACTCTCCGGGTTTCCTGTCCAGCTGTTCTCCCCTCCATTAGCTTCTTCCTTTCTTTTTCTAATTCGACTCTCTTTCTATCTATCGCCTGTGGAGACTTTGAGAGGGACCGTGCGCTTGCTTGCCGAGTCAGGTTGAGCGAGGACGACGAAAGAAAGTAATAGCAACCTTGACAAGAGAGAGAGAGAGAGAGAGAGAGATAAAGGCACGCCATTTTCAGCACCTGCATTCCATCATTGCGGGCAGCCAGCGGACGCAACTTGCAGTCCACCACCACCACCACCACCACCACCACCACCACCACACACACCCCTGGCCACCACGCTCGGCAGTCGGCCACATACCTGTTAGGTAAAGGACCAGAAATCTGCACCTGCAACGAACCTGCATCCAGGCACCGGCAGGCCCAGAAGCCCTCTCTGCCTCGACGATCCGCATAGCGTGTTCCTGAGAGTGGCTCCCCTCTCCCCCCCTCATACCCCCTCATACCCCCATTATGCTGCTAGTTTCGGAAACTTAACGCACGCCGGCCTACGACACTTGGACTTCGAAACGACAAGAACGGCCAGCCCACCAGACTAGCTCTGCTTTACTCGCACCGCCTAGCGAGCTAAGGACCCGCCAAAAGGTACCGAGATACTTTCCAAGCTAGTCTTTGCACTGCACTCCACTCTCTCTACACACTCTCTCTGTGTACGTGTGTGCCCCATTTCGTCCTAGACTCCAACGTGTGGCCCTAGCTAGCCCCAGACTTTGGGCGAGCTACCGTCCTGCCCCATTCTCACCACTTGGAGCGGAGACCTTCCTGGTGCTCGTGCACCAAGCTTTTCCTGTATCTGTGGCTAGCCAAGCCACTGAACTCTCTTAAGAGCAGTCTTCCTCCCCGTTCGTCACCGTCCGCCCCCGTTTCAATTTGGCTTCGACCATCATCCCATCTAGCCTTCAACATCTTCCCTTATGTTGATTATGTCGTTGGCGTGATTAGTGTTGTTGTCGTTGTTGTCATTGCTCGTTTTGGCCTATTGTCTTTTGTTGTCGTTGCTGACGACCGACCCTCAAGCTCTAATATCCTTTTTATCGAGGACCGCCCGCCCTCATTGCTCGCTCCTCCTATTATCCGTGTCTACGCTCTGCTGTGTGCGCCGTGCCACCTTTAGAGCATCGTCTTCTCTCACTCTCTCGCTCTCTTCTTCCTTCGCCAGCATACCCGCCTTGCGCTGGGCGCCCATCTATCCAGCTATCCCCATCGCGGCTCTCTCACCTGATCATCGTGTGTAGAGCGCCAGTTCTCTTCGTCCCCTGTATAAAACTTGTCGCGGAATTCCTGCATAGTCCGGTTGCATTGAAGGAGATCACGCTTGCTCGCCATTCCGGGCCAGGGGGACATACCCAAATCCGAACCCACCCATACCACTTGCATCCCTACCCCGGTCGTGCCGGTCGACACTTCGCCACAGGTCGACGGTAGCCTGTCAGTTCCCACGTCTTAAGAGCAGGGGTCTCCACGAAAGACGTCTTATAAGTACGCTCATCGTGCACGTCCAACGTCCGCGACCCGTCCCGCAACGATCACCCAGTCAGGAGCATCAAAACACCACGAAACCAAAACACAAAGAGAAATGGAACTCATGGAGCTGGTCGAGAACGAACCCACGACGCGTCCTTTCCAGTGCGACTGGACGGCGTGTGGTAAGGTACGTTTGCTTCAATCCCAGCCCGACATGTCGTCGTCGACGGCATGCCTGCCTGGCTCATGGCATCTGGCCCTCCAGAGTGGCCAAGGCAGAAGACCCACAGGTCACTAACACTGAGGTGTCCAGAGCTTCAACCGCAAGTCAGACTTGCAAAGACACTACCGGATACACACCAACGAACGCCCGTACGCGTGCTCAACTTCAGGATGTGGAAAGAGCTTCATCCAGAGGAGTGCTCTGACAGTCCACATCCGGACACACACTGGCGAGAAACCGCACCAATGCCAACACATGGGATGCGGAAAGCGTTTCTCAGATGTCCGTATCTTTCCTCCTTCAGGGCCAATAGCCTTTGACGCTCCCAGATGGCCTGTACTGACTTCAGCGCAGTCTTCAAGTCTGGCGAGACATCGTCGGATCCACACGGGCAAGCGCCCATATAAATGCGCCCATGATGGCTGCTTGAAGAGGTAGGCCTCTGGATACCCCAGTAGCCACGTCTCGAGATCTGGCACTAACCAATCGACACTACCCGACAGCTTTTGCAGGAAAACAACAATGGTGAAGCACCAAAGACGGTCCCACCAGCGCGGAATCCACTCGTCCGAAATCGACGACTCCATGTCAGAAACCGGGAGCGAGGACTCGCCGTCAACACCGAAGAGCCACAGCATGCCATGGCCACCACACAACGTGGCCATGATGGGCCACCACGGCCACGGCCACCAGATCCACCGCGCCGCATCCTTCGCCGACTTTGGCCAGCACATGAACGGCTACAACTTGCAGCAGCAGTACGGCCATAGGCATAGCATTTCGTCGAGCGCTGCACACGAGTATCATGGACACCCACACGCCCAAGCTCCCATGCATCCGCACGAGCAGCCCCAACAACACCATCAGCAACAGCACCCCGGTGTGCCCATGCTCCAGCGGACAGCCAGTCTGCCGCAGCACACCTACTTTGTGACGGAGCAGAACAACCCTGGGGTAGCAACTATGAACCCCAACGCGCATCCGGGAGCTGCACCAATGCACCCTCAATACCAGCAAATTCCACGACAAGGCGTTGAGCGGCTGGGGCTGGAAATGCCCCCATTCCCGTCAGCTCAAGTCCTGAACGGCAGCATCCAGAGCAGCCCCAGTAGCTTCTCGGCGGCGTCTGGGCGAAGTCCGTCCACTCAAGGCGGCTTCTACACGCACGCGCCGACGGCACAGGCAGCAACATACGCGCTGCACGCCGCCAGCCCGGTCGAGCAACAAACTCCGCAGATGGTCGCGTATCAAGGCCAGATGGCTCCGCAACCCCAGGCCATGGCGCAGCCACCTCCCCAGCAGCCCACCTCGCAGCAGCAGCCAGCGCCAGAGCAGTACCAAGCGCAGCACGCGCAAGCCGAAGAACAGCAATGGTACAATGGCGTCGCATACCAGCCACCTGTCGAAGTGACGACAATCAACTCAATATCGGCGTATCCCTCGTACGACCCGTGGGCGCCAAAGCTGGAGTTTGAAGACCCTGCCATGGTCCTCCCCAGCGCTCGAATCGAGAATATGTGAAGGAGTAGCTCGTAGCTCTTCTTCCACTTGCTCTGCCGCATGATTGTCTTTCCTGTTGCCACTAGTCATCATAAATACCCCCTTTAGGCCTCGCCTGTGTACTAACGGTTCCTGTTTCTTGTCGTTTATTTCATCGTTTGAGTACCGGCGTTGTTAGCCGCTGTCGTCGACAGTTGGTTGGGGAAACGTGGTTGCAGAGCAGAGTTCCCCAATTGGGCCCTACAGAACCAGTCGTCGTCTCTCTCTCTCCTCCGCCGAACCCTTCCCTTGATCGACGAGTCGACTTCAATTGGCGACATCATCCAAGCGTCAAACTCTTGGTTGTTTGGGCCGTGCTTGCGTCTGCTCTTCAAAAAACCATTATTCCCTGCGACTCTCGGTACCAATGTCTCTTGGGACTTGGCTTTTGTTTTTTATCCCCTGATCGTTTCCAACATTCCTGGCGTTTTTCTTTTTCGCCCTTTATATATTTTGTCCTGCTTTCATCGGGAGTTGGCGGCTGCCCCGATTGATGGTTTCCCCGCCCCGTATTAATCATTATTGGCAAAAAAGGCGGAGGCGCGGTCGGCGGCCGTTTACTCATTTTCTTTCTTCCATCCGGTCGGTTGCATACCCACTTTCGAGATGGGGGCGGCGGTTTCTTGAGCGCGAGATGTTGAGGATGACGATGACGAAAAAAACGACCAACAGCCAATACATTAACCGCATCGAATTGAGAGGGAAAGTATCATATACCACACCGGCGCCGAAAGGGAAACGACATGTATATGTGTGTGTGTTTGTGCCTATTATGGATGGATAGGATGTTGGAAATAATCAGAGTGTCTTGGGATGGGATGACCAGAGGGGAGGAAAACAGCCACACAATATGGGAGGGTTAAGGGGTTGCGGGCAACGAAATGAACGGGAACCGGGAACTGGATTACGAATGCCCTGATTTGAACGGCCGCCTTGTTTGGTTTATCGTTCGAGAGGCTGTCATGGAAGCCCACTTTGGTTTATTTTTGTTTCTCTTCACCGCTGGGAAAGGATGCAATGGATTTTTTGTTTTTCTGTGCCCTTCTTCACAACAAATTGTAATGAGCGTGGTGGTGTACGGTATGTACCTGAGAAACACACGGATGAGACGGAGGAACTGCGACAAAAAATGGAGAGGCAAAATAAGGGTCGGGGGAGAGGTACATCCCCTGCATCCTGTGTACTAATAACAGAAAGCGGGAGGGAATCGAGGGAGAGGGAAGCCTGGGCAGTGGCAACAGGGGACTCCTTGTTCCCCTTTCCCTTCTCCTATCAGATATATATGTGTAGGCATGTGGTTGGAGGGATCATGTGCCAAAATTGGGGAGATAAGGGGAGGTGATGCTATTTTCTTTTCCTATCCAAACCTTTTTGTACTTTTAGTTTTCTTTATTCACATCACCCCCTGCGTATATCGTCTTCAACATCGTCGGTCGGTTGGTCGGTTGGCTTAGTACCTAGTACCCTAGTCTTAGTCTTAAGCTAGTCATTCATCAAAAGCTATCTCACTCACATTACCGATTGTTTCTCTCATTCTGTTCTGCCATGATGGATGGTGCTCCATGTGTTCTTCTGGGATGGATTGCTCCCGGCCGGGAAGGGCGGCTTCGGCTTGACTCTGTTTGCGGTTACTGCGGGAGAGTAGCCGGTTATTTCTCGCATGGGAGCCACCCAGAGACCTGATAGGTATGGCGAGATCAGGCGGCACAAGATGACTTGAAGTCGTGTCGCCTTGCTTGACCCGCTTGCCTGCTCGAGCCTGGCCGGCCCAATGCTGGTGGTCAAAAGGAAGGCCCAGGATGGCGGCACAATTGCCTCGTCGATGACTCGTCCGTCCACTGGGAGGAGGCAAAGGCCGATGGATCAACACGTCGGCTTGAGTCGAGCTAGACGCAATGCGAGTTCCTGAGACGGTCGACCATGGGCAATGCTGTCTCGTCGACAACTCTTGGTAGTTTGCAACGCCGTCTAAGCGAGGGCCGAGTGATAGGAGATGTTGGATACGACAAGACTACGACGACGACGACGACGACGAGGAACAAGCTCGGCGAGTTTTAGATTCCGCCTGGGAGGATATTTGTTGTGTTGGCCAACTAAAAGGGGGAAGGAGGGGCGCGGAGGATTGTAGCTTAGCGCCTCGGGCATGCCGTCGGCTGGTAGATAGAGTTGGGCATATGGCGGTCATTTTGGGTTGCTTTGCCTCGCGGCCGCTCTGTTTGTCTCACGTCGCCGCCGCCAACGGCGCCCCCACCGCGGGAACCGCTGAGGGGTAGACAAGACCGAAGTGAATGGGTTTGATGAGGTGTAACGGTGTACAGGGGGCGGGATAACAGGAAATATGATGGTCAGGGGCGAACTGGCCAACCACAGCACACCGAGAGGACAAGAGACCTGCGTTGGCAGCAGATGTCTTGTTGGACAGTGCTGTGTCGGTTGTACGTAAACCGGCAAGCTGTGGTTGCACAAGAAGGACGGCCACTGCACACTTGTTGCTTCCGATCCCATTCCTCGGACTCTCGTGCCTATCCCCAGCAGTCTTGTATCGTTGGCTAGATACGCCGTATGTCGAGAGTGGCCATTCCTGAAAGAGGAGGGGGTGATAGGCGACTATGCAACTGCACAACGCCGCCACTCGGGATGCACCTTTTCAGGCAGAAAAAAGAAACAAAAAAGGAGAGGAGTGGCAATGAAGTAGGGTTAAAAGGAGGAGACTAGAGAGACTGGGAAAGAAATGTGGTCAGAAAAGCCGAGGTGAGGTAGGTGAGATAAAAGCGTCTCTGGCACACGTGTAATGGAGTAATTGGGTATAAGACATGTCGAGCAGCGGCATCTCCAGGTCCGCCGTCCCCTCCTTGCTGCACGAGACACTATATTTAGTCTGACTGTGCCGTGAGAGTTTAGACGCAGATGGAGTCTTGCTGCGCCTGGGCGTGCTTTGACCCTTGGGACTGCCGGCCGGCGGAGGAGGAGATGGAGAAGGAAGTGTAAAAAAGACGCACGGGAGAGAGGATGAAAGGGAGAAGGTGAGAGGGAGATGCAAGACGAATGCAGCTCAGCAGTGAGTGCAGCGGCAACAGCAGCAGCCGCCAACATATGATATCAAGTGCAGCAGTAGCAGCAGCAGGAAGAAGACTGCAATGGCATAATAAAGCATACTACCGTGGCCTCGAGGATTCCGGCTCAAATGGGCGGCGCGGCTAGAAGCGTGCGGCGCGGCTGGCGTCTCTGCCTCGTGTGCGTTGTGCGGCTACCTCAATGCGATGGCAGCCATGGATGGCATGGCATGGCATGGCCAACCACGGCCCATGATGGGCTGACTCGCTAGGTTGGCTCGCTTCGCTCGCTTCCAGGGCTCAACCCCTTCTGGAACAATTCGGTGAGCGGAGAGGCGCTCGTGTCTTGATTGTTGTCGGTCCTTTGGCCCAGAGGATGGCAAATCTTGGATAAATTGCCCAGTGCAGATGACGGGCTCGGCTCGCAGATCCGAGCAGTGTGCAGGCGCAGCGGCTGGAAAACGAGAAGAGAGAACGGTCGTGTTACCGGTTTAGATTAGGGGCGGACGGGAGCGGTGAATGACATAGAAGAAGGAATGACTGGAGTGGTCAGGTACGAGACGCCTGGAAGTTCACCACTAATATGGAGTAGGTATGGATGTGGAGGGAGTGAATTGCTGCTTCCGTGGCACACAGCCAGGGAAACTTAAAAGTCTTCAGCTGGAGACCCGGAGGTTTGACGGGAACAAGGGAAGGAGGAAACGACGTGGTCATATTTTCCCTCTTGTCTAGGTGTCATGCCTTCTTGAGGCGCTTATTATGCGTCCTATCTCGGCGGTTCGCAGCAAACAAAATGTCGATGCGGCGCCGAGCAGCTGATGGGGCCGTGCCGGTCTGCCACATGCCGAGGGATCTGAATCAAGAGCGCGGGGCGGGCTGTGATTGGCAGGCCGCCCACCAAGACCCGGTCGCAAGCCGCCCACGACAAGCGCTCGTGGTGGCGCTGACGTCTGTATTCTTGCGGACCGAAGTTTATTGTTGCGGACCACCAAAATGCATTGTCCCGATCGGCGGCCGAGTACGAATACATGGTAGTGCGCACACGGGAGTTGGCTAGTGCCGACCATGGCCCATTCACACGCACTACCCATGGCCACTAGGCGGCAGCTTTTGCCCAATTGAGAAAGCCTCATTGAACAAACCCAAGTCAGCCTATCGTGTTTGACGATTGCTCCTTCCATTCTATACCTAAGCCGAGTGTTCTCGATGTCGCAAGTGACGGAAGCCACAAACTAAAGCAGCCTGTGACTACCAGCCGAAGACTCGAGAGAGCTGGGAGCTGGGAGCCCTGTGGGCTAGGTTTTACCCTTGCTATGGGATCCCTGCAAGGAAAGTGCCGCTCGCGGGGTTCCCCATTAGGCTGGGCGCTTTCAACGAGCAACGACGCTCACGAGCAACGACGCTCACGAGTGACGAAGGGACGACATCGGCCAGCTGTTTCTATCATCCAATCTTCCCAACTGATGTCACCCAACCCATCTTCTACGCAGCAAGACTCCTAGTCAGCGCGATTGGGCGGTTCTAGTTGCAGACAGGCTGCTGTAATTGGGGGCTCCCGTTTCATCCGATCCCGATCTCCGAGCGGCGTTGCATCCGACGGGGGAACGGAACCAATTACCACACCTCGACAGAAGGGAAAGAAAAAAAAATAAGCTCCGATTGTCATCACAACTCAAAACGCCTTTCCGCCTTCTACCACCACACACACACCCCACACACCCTGATAGCGCGTACTCGGGTGCTGTACCGGCGGGGAACAGACAGGAAGAAGAATCTGGGGACAAAACACGCAAGGATGCAGCTACTCCTCGGCAGTCTCGTGCTCCTCGCAGCCGGGCGCTGTGTGCTGGCCCACGGCGACCACGGCAGCGGGTCGCAGCAGCCGATTGTCGACGAGCACGCCACGTGGATGCAGAAACACATGGCCGGTAAGCCACACCGCAAGCCTGATGGATCATCATCATGATCGTCGTCATCATCATAATCGTCGTCATCATCAGATCGCTGACGCCATGTTTGCCGTGGACGAAATAGAAGAGCACCACGCGACCGACTTCGACGCGGCGTCCTTCTTCACGCTGCACGACTTTGACGGCGACGGTAGCTGGGAGGCGCTCGAGATCCTGCGGACGTACGGGCTGATGGACGAGTCTAACGCGCACATAACGGCGGAGCGGCGCGACGAGATCGCGCGCGAGGTGCTGGCGCTGCTCGACGCCAACGGCGACGGCGTGGTCAGCCGCGACGAGTTCGTCGAGCTCGTCGACGGCCGCGGCAGGACGCTGCCCGACATGGGAACAGGCCCGGGGCACCACGGCGATGACGAGTACGAGTACGAGATTCACCACTGGGAGAAGTGAGTGTTCCCCCCTTTCATCTTTTTTATTTACCTACCTAGGTATCGTATCTATGCGTCATACATGCCTACGTAATACAGACGGAAGCTCTTGGCTAATCGTGAGACGCCGGGAACAAAAAGGTACCACGACGACAACACCAAGCTCGAGGACCTCACGCACCCCGAAGACATTGCACACTTCAAGAAGCACGAGGAGATGGAGGCGGAGCAGGACCGGTTAGACGACCTCAACAAGCGCGCCATCGTCGAGGAGAACATCCCCGCCAAGTTCCGGCGCGACTAGATGGGCGGCGGCGGCAGCGGCGGCAGTGGGGATGATGCGAAGACGGTGGTGAAGCAGCTCCGCTGGGCGAGGCGGATTCCTCTCGCGGGCGACTCTACCGCCACTGATTACGACGACGACCAAGAAGACGCCGGTCAGGCCATGTGTATGTATAACGACCCACACGACTACGACGATCGCCGATAGACGTCTTGTCCGGTTTCTTGTTTAAAATGAGCATCAAGCACTGCTGCTACCAGGAGCAGCAGCAGCAGCAGTTGTACTTGTTATTATTGTTGTAGACCTTGTAATATACACGTCAAAGACGCAGTGCCAGACGTCTGGCGCAAACGTCTTGACCAATTCGACATGCTCCACGGCCGCGCTGGCTTTTTCGCTACCGTTGCTTCTGTCGTCGTCGTCAGGGGTAGCTTCCTCGTCAGCGCTGCACCACTCCGAAAATGTCTGCTCCATCTCTGCGCGGCGCTGCTCGATCTGCGCGACCCCGGCGTTCTCGTGCAGGTGCAGCCATCCCTCTTCCCGTCCTCGTGGGTTCCGGGCGACGATGGACCACGCATCACGCCACACTTTCTCGCTCGACGGCAGCAGCCCCGCGTTGACGTGTAGCACGTGCGTGTCATCGAGGGCCCAGAGCGCCGCCACGCGCCGCGCCGCCCGCGCATTGTCCTCGAGGAACACGACGATCTGCTCGCCTCCTGCTGCCACCGCTGCTGCTACTGCCTCGTCATCGTCGTCATCTCCGTTGGGTTTCGAGAGTGACGGCCGCACCACGCGCACGCTCCAGCCATTCGCCACGGCACCCCGCCGCAAGCCCTCAACACTCCACGGGTTCAGCTCCCAGCACAGCACGCGCAGGCCTAGGCGCGCGTACGAAAACACAAAGTAGCCGATGCCGGCGTAGAGGTCGACGGCGGTGGCCTTCCTCTTGTCGCTTCTGGCACGGTCCGCACTGCGAGAAGGAAACCCCAGCACGCGCGCCTTCTCCTTGACGTTGCCCCGGCTGAACATGGTCCACCGCGGCGCCCACGTCTGCACGATGCCGTTCTGCTTGGTCGTCACCCAGAACGCGGAGGCAAAGTTGCCGTCCCCGATGGTGTCGTTGTCGTCGCTGTGGACCGGCCCAAAGTCGCCGTGCAGCATGCGCAGCCCGCTCGGTGTGCGCAGCAGGTTTTCTTGCTGCTGCTCCTGCTGCTGCTCCTGCTGCTCCTGCTGCTCCTGCTCTTGTTCCTGCAAAGCAGGGGCGCGCATCAGCGGGATCCCCTCGTTGACGGCCAGGTGCGTCAGCGGCGTGTGCGACGACGTCCGCGACACCTCGCGCAGGATGCCCGCCCAGAGCGGCGCCAGGGACAGCAGTGGGTCCGCGCCAGGATTTTTTTGTTGCTGGTGGGAGAGAGAAAGCAGGGCGGGCCACGGCGCCGCGGCGAAGCTGCCGCTCGGCAGCAGCACCATGGGTTCGTACACGACCCATCGCCTCGGGGCGCCGTCGAGCAGCTGCTTTCTGATGGCGGCGTCTTGGTTCAACTTCTCTGCGTCAGATGGCAAGCTGGCGCTGCTGCCGGCGACTAGCTCGGCTAGCGGACGCGGGAGGCTGTCCAGCCATGCCGACACGGCGACGGCGATGGGATTCTCTTGCTTCTTCTTGGGCTTCTTCGGCCTCGTCCTTGTTGGGTCCCTTGGCTCCATCTTGAAGTTTTATTTTTAGGCAATGGACGTACTCCATACTTTTTTCCTGTCGACCTTTTGGCGGGGTGAGTGGGTGGGTGGGTGTGTTGTTTCATGGGGGTGTGGGGCATGGGTAAGGTGAGCTGTGCTCTCACACCTCGGTACGGAAGTACTTGCTTGGGTAATTATGGGATCAGGGTCTTGAGACCAGATAAAGGTGAAACGGTTTCTTCCCCGCAAAAACGTGCCGGAATTTCGTATCAGTACTGTTGTCTATCGAGACGCCAATGTTGTGATTGACGGACGAACCCGGTCTCCATCGCGCGATCGAAGCCAGATGGCCTTTCTGCAACGGCGGTTTATTGGCCACAAAATTTTGATGTTCGAGGCTGGGAGCTCACCTTGCTCAATCTGTCATCTAATTCTCTTGCCTCTTTCTGATTGGCGGGCGAAATTCAATCGTCTTTTCGTCGTGGTCGGTCTGAGGAATCCGTGTAACAATGCGACAGGTCCGATTCGCCGCCAGCAGGGAGGGGGACGAGTGCTGTCGGCCTGTAGCATAATGTATTTCGCGCGAAGTAATACTCAATCAAGCCGCCATTATTGTTGTGTATTTCTGTCTGCTGGCTTATTAGCGACTAATATTGAATTCCAAAGTGTTTTAGGAGCTGCCTAAGCACTAGATCCCCCCAATTAATCTCGACTAACTTCCCAAAGATCTAGAGGGGTATTGGTATGCTAAATTCAGGCAGCAGAAAATCCCAAGGTATCCGTAGTTAAGTAGTATATGGGTTTGATATCACGAGCAATGGCTTAGCTTGTTCGTAAGAACCCTAGAAATCAAGTAGGGTAGCCACGGTCAGTCACAACCCCATGCCTCGTCAGAGCGAGGTCTTTTCATCAGGCCATACAAACTGAATGATACGGCTGGCCAGAAAATCGAGCTACTCATAAAGGGAGATATCATCATCCTAGACAAGGTCTCGCTATCAGTGCTCAAGACCAATTAGCGACTTCCCCATCACCGTACCTAGGCCACTTTGCGGCACGTTCTATGATTGCCGCTTCGTTCAAGGCATTTCTCGTCCAAAAACGATGGTGTAAGAGGGGAAAAGAGTAAGGCTGTACTTTTTTTCGATTCCGGGTCATGTGACGAACAGTGCCCTGTCCCGCTCACTTCATGGTACCTACCTTAGGTGGCCTTATTGAACTTTCCCTTGTAGAAGGCATCGCGGAGCCTACAGTCACGGGCAAGTTTGGCTTGGCCTGTGACTGCCCCGCACATTGTATTCCGTGCTGTCGGTCGCTCTTTCGGCTTCCAACTCAACTCTTATCTTTGTTTTTTAACTTCTCGGTCCCATATTTTCCTCAAAGGCATCTTTTCCGACTTCCCGGCCTCTGACTCCTTCCGAGTCTCCATTTATGAAGCTCTCATGAGGCCGAGAGGTGGAAGCAACAGTCTATTCCCGGTTGGTCGTATGTAGTCCTAACGACCTGCAAGTGCACAAGGTTCGTTGACATTTAGACTCTACCGCTGAACCATTGGGTCGTGGGAGCGTTAAAACGGTCAACGTTTTCACAACCTGCGCATCCAAAATGGAGCCGAATTTAGCTTTCTCGGCAAAGATTCGACCTGAGTCACATCTCAACCACGAAGAAACCTTGACTTCTTGAAACATCCTGTGGAAACACTCCCATATCTCTCTACTTTAACCCAAGGGCAACCAATCATGGCAGATAGACACTCACGACGGGGTCCGGGCGACACTTCATGCCTAGGTCGTGAAAGGGCATTCCGCAGGACGCCAGAACAGTGACAGCAACAGAAACAAAACTTGGATTCGTAGCAGAAAGCCTGCTTCGGTAGAAAGGCTTGGTGCCTAGTAGAAATCAAACAAAGCTTGCTTTCGGTCTGAGCGACAGGTACTTGGGTGGAAACGGTCGGGGGCTGCCAGAACGAGCGACGTCTTGGGTTTACACGGCCATCCCGTAGAGCAATTCCAAGTCAGCAAAGCCCCTTTTCCATTCCCCTAATTTGTAGCACAAGTCTTGGTTAGATATTGACAGCACTACACTTAGCAGAGCTTCTAAAAGCCCGTGGAACAGACAAACCACCGGTGGACAAGATGAGTTCGGCGTGCTTGGACCGGCTGTCTCAACTGGCCCAGAGATCCACACACCCGTGCGAAGCTACAGAGCTATGCTTGTGACTGCTGTTCGTTTTGCTTTTTCACTGTCGTAGACTTTTGCGTCCTTATCTCTGGCTAAGAGTGAAGGACATGCAGACGCCACCCCCCACCGAGATCATAGGCTTTTCTAAACTTCAGATTCTCGTATCTGTTCATTTCCAAAGCTTTGGAGGTAATCTTGACCCGGTGGTGGAGCCTAACAATCAACTGTGTCCATAATGAAGGAGCAGAACTGCCCATATATAAATTCCTGCCCCGTCCTCTCCCAGTGCCCCTTTCCTTTTCCGGATTACCAGGTTCTCATGCACACGGTAGCTCTTGCAGTCTTTGGTAAACTGACTGGTATCTTGACAATCTCTCTTCGTCTTTCCATCTTTCTTTCTCTTCTTCTGGTCTAGGGCAATAACACGAGCACTTCTGTGCACACACACACACACACACCCGGCACACACATATCCGACACACACATATCCGACACACACATATCCGACACACACACAAGTACGTACCTCTTTCACACATCTCCATTCCATCCATGACTTGCAAATATCCATCACCATACCTCCTACACAGTAACCTATTCATTAGTTTTCTCTATTTTCGTCTACCCAAGAGGTGGCTTCCCCAGTTGGATCCATCACCAAAGGGACATGACTTATACCCATCATCACGCACACACATCCGTCCACTAGTTTTATTTGTTCCCCCTTCCACTTCTCCCTTTCCCCAACCCTCAGTCATAGTCGAACATGTCTCCAGCAAATCGTATCCATGCCCATTATCCATTCTATCTGATGCACTCCTTTCTATTTCTTCCACTCGATCACCCATACATGTACTGAATATCCCATCTGAGCCCGCGCCTGACTAGCATGAAATAGGTTTTTGTTCTAGAAAAATCTCTTCCCGGCTTAGACGCAAAGAAGAAGAAGAAATGGCGCCACAGAGACTAGCTGCGGGACCGGCTGCGGGACCGGCCGCCCAACGCAAGAAGCGGAGCGTGGGAACCGCCTCCTGCCAGCGGTGCAGGAACTCAAAGGTCAAGTGCGTGCCGCCACCGGCCGGCGGCCCAGCAGCGGGCGCCAAGTGCGCGCGCTGCGACAAGAGGGGCGAGGAGTGCCTGTGGAACGGCGTGGACCACAGGACCAACCACACGGCCCTGATGGAGCTGCGGGAGATGATGGACAAATTCGCCGACACGTGCACCACGTTCGCGGCCATCTTCCAGGTGCTCGCGTCGGCGGACCAGTGGCTGGCCCGCGTGCGGTCCCAGCTAGCCACCGCGCTGCGGCTCGGGGCCGCGCCGGCCGCGGCGTGGGGGGCCGTCCAGAAGCGGGGGGGGCGGAGCTTCAGGGCTTCGTGATCGAGCGCGTGGCGGCTCCGTTATTCGGGCCCGTTGATGCCAACGACCGACTCGCGGTGCTGCGCGCAGAAATCCGGGGAAACGAGCGGATAGTCTCGGACTACGAGGCCCTCCTGCAGCGGGTGCTTGACCTGCTGCTCGACATGGACGACGACGTGGAGCGTTCCCAGGCCGCCGCCAGCTTGTGTTTAGGCCGGCTTAGCTTCGATAACCACTTTGTTGCCCGCCTCGAGAGCCTGCCCTGGTATACGCCACGCCCGGCCGATGTGGCCATGCCTGTGGGCCAAGAAGTCCAGATCCAGCAGCCGAGTGAGATATGGGAGGGAGTCCCGGTGCCGGCTGAGCAGCAGCAGCTACAACAACAACGAAAAGACCCCGATCTCCCGCCCTCTCTATCGAGAGATTTGGATGAGCTTGGCGAGCAGATAAGGTGGGAGTTGTTGGAAGAACAGCGGCAACAGCGGCAACAGCAAGAGCAACAGGGTCCCGCCATCCCGGTCCCTGTCGCCGCCGCCGCCGCCGCCGCTCTGCCCCCTGTCGACTTTACGGCCCCGTACGCGCCACAGCAGCAGCAGCAGCATCATCATCATCAACAACAACAACAACAACAACAACAACAACAACAACAACAACAACAACAACAACAACAACAACAACAACAAAAACAGGGCCTCGGCGTCCAAGCCCCTCTCCTCGTCACCGCCCCCGCCGCCCCCGCCGCCGCTCTGCCCCTGTACGTGCAGCAGCAGCAGCAGCATCAGCATCAACATCAACAGGGCCTCGCCGTCCCGGACCCTCTCCTCCCCGCTGCCCCCGCTGCCGCCGTCGGCGTCACCGCTCTCTCCCCATTTGGCCCTACAATCGTGGTCTTGCAGCGGCGGAACGAACGCGCTTTCCAGCCCGAGATGAATGGGTCTGTGTGGGCGCTGTACCAGCACCAAGGGCAGTTCGCTCCCCCCCACGTCAACTACGGCGAGCCCCAGTACTTCGGTCAGGCCGCAGTTAACAACCCCACCTGGTAGTTTTCCGGCAATATACTGGGTCTTCCATATCATGTCGTAGGTTTCGACAAGGAGGAATTTTGGTCACTGTCTCGTTGGATAAGACGGACACACGTGAGGGGGACGGACATTATACCAGCATTCCATCACCATACTCACCTCATCCACCCTCGCTCATTCTCAATGCATATATATATATATATATGCATTCGCGTATATATACGTACGCGCGTCCGCTAAAGGACGACACCTCTGCCGACATACCAGCTGGCAGGCTATTCAGAACATAAGTGGCTTAGCTGAAGAGGCCAACTATGCCTACCCACCTCTTTAAAACACCACACACAAACAGCACATGCACACAAACTAGTGAGAGGCGGGAGGGTGGGCAGGTCAACTTCTCACTGAGTGGCAGCAACGATGACGAAACCAACGAAGCGCACAAAAGCTCACATGTATGATATTATCTACGACGACAACAACGACAACAACGACAACAACGACAACAACGACGACAACAACGATGACGACGACGGCGACGACTATAATGACAACGGCAAGAGACAGCAGCTGATTGGCTGTATAGCACGATACGCATTACTAATTTTCTGTCGCTTAATTGTATACTGATACTTTCTGGCTTGTTCGATTTAAGCAGGCTGTTGGGCACGCACGCACGCACGCACGCGAAGCCGTTGCAAAACTTTGTTGCCAGGAGGATACCATGTTTTTTTTTTAGTTCTATTTTTCTACAATGCAAAAGTTGTCTGTGGGTAGCTAGCGAGCGTGCGTGGGTTTCTTGTTTCAGGTTCGCTGGGAAAAAGGTAAAAACTGGGTTGTAAAACTTTTGTATTAACATGTATTTATTTCTCCTTTTTTCTTCTTTTCTTTGACGCCGTGGCGATTCATCGACATCGCTTGACCAGGAGGATATCCCGATCACACCATTTCGGCATCATCATTTCAAGGGGCATTGCAAGGATTATGGGAATAGAGTATACATCACCATAGAACGCATGGGTAGGCTGCTTCGACGTTCTGATATGTCGGGGTTGAAGACGCGGGTAGGCAACCTCTGCCCATTTGGAATAAACGACGACCTCTCTCTCCTTATTCCTTATTTATGTGTCGCGTATAGAGGTGCAAGCGTGTCTAGACATGCGCTGAAGTCATGAAACCACCCACCCACCCATCAGATCGACCAGCCCGCAGGCAATGAATCCGGCACCATCTACACAGGCAGCGACGCACCTCCCCGTCCCAGAACCCGCTTGCCATCACAAGACATCACAAGACAAAATACCCCCACCCCAACCCCCACCCCATCCCAACTCAAGCCCCTTTCCTTTCCAGCTCCCCAACAAGCCGATCAAAGCGCTTAAACGTCGTCATGCCCTCAAACAGCGCACACGCAATCCACCCGCACCACGCCGGCGACAACGCCGGGACACCATACCTCCGCAGCCGCGAGCGGTGGAGATGCACGGCCTCGACGACATGCGCGACGACCGTCGGCACGAAGATGGCCGCGACCAGCCAGCGCAGGGCGGCGGGGGCGCCGCTCCAAAACAAAATGTGCTGGAGTGTTTCCGCGCCGGCGGCGCCGTCGTCGAACACGCCGCGCATCACGAGCGTTAGGGTCACAAAGTACAGCGTCACGCCGCCGAACACGGCTACTTCGAGGGGGGTCTGCGGCGGGCGGAAGCGGTTGCCTACGACGACGACGACGGCGGCGGCGGCCACGGGGTGGTGACCCGTGTCGGGAGTGGTGGTGGCGATGCCCAGCCCCGCGCGCGCGGCGAGCGTCATGTCGATGAGGCGCTGGCGGCGGTCGTCCCAGGCGGCCAAGGGCGGGTCGATGGCGATATTGTGGACATCCCCAGTGCCTGTGCGGACGGTGAGCGAGGCCAGGTCCATGTCGAGCAGCTCGGCGTCGGTGGCGGGCACGCCGTTGAAGTGCTGCAGCATGTGTGCGAGGTCGGCGCGGTGGTCCTTGTTCATGTGCGCGAGGGTGCGCGCTTTGGCCGCGACCGGGATTGCGGAAGACGACGACGAAGATGCCATCGCGGCTGCTTGGGCTTGCGGTGCCTTCTTGCGTGGGGTTCCTGATAAACGCTTGTGTGTGTGTCGTTGACACCAATTGCCCTCTCCTCTCCTCGCGTCCTTGTTGCGGAGCTGGCTAGGCAAGGTAAAAAAGTAACCGTTCCGGAATGGAGCCTGGGATGCAGTGGTGGTGCGCAGCGGATACGGAGAACCCAAGAAAACTGAACCGAACCGAACCGCCTGGCGTCAGCTTTAGCTTGTTGGGCAGATCTTGTGCAGATCCCGTTCCTACCCCTGTTACTACTGATGGGCTGGCACGACAGGAATTCGGGCGAACCGAAGATGTGCCACCTTGGCAAACCGGACCTAGGTATACACAAAGCAGGTGCAATCGTGCAGTGTTTCGGCCTGTCCAAAGGCTTCGTTTCCCGAATTCGGATCGCAGAAGTGGCTGGGGCCAATCACAATCTCGGGGTCGGTTGGCTAACTCCGGGTAGCCTCTGCTGCCGACCCCGCCTCTGACCACCCACATACACCACCCCGTCACCCAATACCAATAATTCACAATTGGAACTGCTCACCATGACTAGGTATTTATGTATTACTATTATCATTCGAGGGTCTGGCTGTATATCCAGCCTAACCCTGTGGTATAATGAGAGACCCAACCTCGCAAAGAAATTCCCATCAAAGAGCGAAGTAGCACATGGTGCGCTGCCTTAATACCCATCTCCCTTCTGCGCTTCGTTGACAAAAGTAGCCGTCGTCGTCGTCGTCGTTGCAGTTTCGACGCGCGTCATACTTGGCTGATGCGAGAGCGGCGGCGGACTCGAGGCCGGCCTTTGGCCCAACAGCACGCCGTTGATATTCGGCAACTGCCCGGTATCTCTCTCCGATATCCCGTCCTCGGCCCCTCCGTACCCCCCTTCGAAAGATCCGAGGAATGCATGCTCGTTATTGCTGCGAGCATCGGCCAGCACGTCGCCCCCCGGACTGTCAGTCGTTTTGGGGTCTATTCCCCTTTGGCTCGGCGGCTTGTCAAACGTCAGCTTGTCAAACGTCAGCTTGTCAAACGTCAGCTTAGCCCCAAATCTAAGCCGGCTCTCGTACTGCAGCATTTCCTCATCTGTCGGCGTCTTCACCACGATGGACGAGATGCGGCTGATGGCCGAGAGCCGCTTTAATGCCGGCGGAGCGCCGTGCCATGATCCCACTATCGTGGTATCGCCGAAAGAACTCGTTGTAGTGTTTCCAAAGACGTCGTGCTCATGCCCTCTCCGTCCGCGCCCTCCCAGAGACCAATGGAGATTGCCCCGCCTGCTGATCAAGACGCGGATTGCCGGTAGGCTCGTTACGATGATGCTCACAGCCACCTCTAGCCCCGTCCAGATTAGGGCGTTGGTGTAGTCCCACGTCGGGTTCACCGAGTCTCCAAAGGAATATATGGCCCAGAGCCGGACACTAAAGCATGTCAGTTTTTGCCCTTCAACTGCGGGCTCTCAGTCCATACCAGCTGGTTACTAAGACGAAGACCCCTAGCGAAAACATGGCCATGATACAAAGCCTAGATCGCCTCGAGACGTCGAGCTTGGCCAGCCGGGGAAGTGGCAAGATCAGAATCGCAATATCCTGGGCAATGTTGAATGCTGCCATGGTGAAGCCGAGTGTGTTGATGTCCAGACACCGGTACGGACCAAACTCTCCCTTCTTCCAGCCCTCCCATATGAAGTTGATGGGCATGCACTGGAAGATCTGGAGCGAGACGAAGACCATACCCGATAGAACGACCCACGCCATGACGGCGTACGCAACCAGTCGGAAGTTGCGGTCGGGGAAAATTCGTAGGTAAAAGCAAAGAATCGACGCCTTGGTCAGCGTCAGGATGGTCAGGTAGAAGGTCTCACCGACGTAGAAGAACTGGTTGTGTCAGCCGTGTCGTCTGATAGCCATGTGCCAGCCCCGATTCCATACCTTTAGCGAGAGCGTTAAAGTGGCCGAGTCCACCGTCCAGACATCGACTCCAAAAGCCAGTTGGGCCGCTGGCGTTTGCGAATGTGCATTAGTTTCTAGAAGTATATCTCTTGGCTTGAGAAGTGTACCGTACATGAGAACCCTAGCCCCTCAAATACGGTATAGAACACCTTGGTGGCGGGCCCGAGTCAGCAGAGGCCAGGAACAGAGCGAGCAGAATATCACGTACCGCTACAACCATCATGATGTAGTCGTCGGCCTCGAAGTGCTTAGTCGACCACCACCGCGAGTACAGCCGGAGAAGGATGCAGATCAGGGCCGGCACTTCGATAGACAGCGGCACGAGGAGATCGGCCTTGCGAGAGCGTTGGGGCTTTCCGCAGGCCTCCCACGCCCCACGAGCGGTGTCTTGTCCCTGTCAGTCTGTCTTCCTTTGCAGCCAAGGTGATTTCCTCGTTGGGAGAGAGAGTGTAAGAGAAAGGGGCATGCGAGATGGCGCGAACCAATGGCGTCCTCAATGGTGCAGTTGGCCTGCACACAGCTCAGGACAGAGCCGTACTGGCTAATGTCCTTCTCGCAGAGACACGCAGCATCCGTGCCAGCTTCCAGGCATGCAGAGGAGGCATTGGCCGTGGCGGAGTTGATGAGCTGCTGGAGACAGCCTAACCCGCAGTCCGGCACCCGGGAAGCTACGTCGGAAGGGAGGCCATGCGGAGCTGCTGTACGTCCTAGCGCCTGCAGGGAGAAAAACAAAAGAGCAATGCTGAGACGTGAAGTGGGAGCGCTATTAGCCCTCATCTTGGACGATACGAGGCATCTGAGACGATGGGTAGATGTGTCTAGGAACTCGTCGGGTGTGTTGGGTGCTTAAGCACATGAGAAGGACTCTCCACGCGGCAAGACTCGAGGTATGCCAAAGAAAGGGGATGGGAGATGTCATGGACGACGTAGACTGGACGGCATGGCTGATAAAACGCCAGAGACAAAAAGGATGGAACGATGGCTCTTGTAAGCCGGCTTGGTGGCAATCAAAGGCCATCGTCCTTGCATGGCTTTGCGAATATGCCGGTGCATGTTAGTCCACGGGGATGGCGGTGGTGGCGTGGGCGACTGGTCGAGCCGTCTACCCTAAGGTCCTGCCTACGTTGTGGTGGTTGCTCAGTTAAGCGGTTTGCGGATGTGCTGAGGAAAGTAAGGTATGTGCTCCATATCCCAAGCCAAGCACGAGAGAGATCGCCGAGTACATCTCTAATTTTGGGGCCCGGGAAGAGACAGAAGGACAGAAGAATTTAGGAAAGAATTTCGACATCTACTTCCAAGGCTGCGTAAAATCACGACATGATTCCCTATCAGGAAGCTGGGCTGGAAGAACAGGACCCGAGTAAGGCAGGGTCGATGAATGCTGAGGAAGGCTCGAGGAAGCCCACTTGTACCTACTAGTTCTACACGAAATAGGCCGAGCACCTTCCTGCCCGGCCAAGAACAAACCCGCAAGTGCAAAAGGTGGCGCCCACCGCGCCGGCGCCTGACGTCAAAGGCAAGGTCCAACAGAGTCAGCAACGCATGCCCAGCCATCGAGCGGCAAGACTGTTAGTTGGTAGTGGAATAACAGCGTGTTCAAATAAGAGGCATATCGTGTTTGTGAGCCGTAGACAGACAACTCAGTTTGTGACGACTTCAAAACCCGCACTCGACCTTTCAGGTCGTGTAGGGATAGAGGATTCCGCGGATATTCACTCGGCGGGGAACCCAAGAACGCGGACGGAATGTCAAACCCTCCGTGTCCGCCGTGCCCGTATTCCGGGATCGAAGGTGGCATTTGCTTTGGCGCTGGCCAATCAGCTTGTCGCAACAACAAGATAAAGGAGGAAAGAGCCAGCCTCAATCGCACCATCCGCACCAATGAACCCGCGCATGGAATACGCCACAAGCAGTCTTCTCCACCAAGACCCCCTCCGACGGTCCTGTTCCAGGCACGACGCTAAATCGAACTGATGACAAAAGGTGGATTAGAAATCCACTTGTTGTCAATCCCACTCCTCCACCTTTTGTTGGTTTCTCTCGCTCGCCATGGCACCCAGCTCCCATGTCCAGTTGCCCCGACCCGGCTTTAGCCATGCGGCAAGCCATGGCTAAACCTGGTGATAAATCCATGGGAGCCTGATAAATCCGGGCTCATGATGCCATACGGTATTGCAGTTAGTTGTGATGGACATGTATAATTATAACCTCGTCTTGGGGCCTTCTCAGTCTCACATCATGTCTCGGTTCATCGTGCTCTCCTCACTCATAAACCATTCAAACCAAAGGTGGACGGACATACAGAACTAAGGACGACAGCTCTCTATCTCGCATCACCACTTCACTCGCAAACAGGTATGTGCTTCTGGGCGCGAGATTCGACCCCAGAATCTGGACCAGAGTTGACCAATATACCATACCTCAGATCAAGAATGGCCACTGTCGTCGTTTTTGGCGCCACGGGCGTCCAGGGCGGCTCCGTCGTCAACCGGCTTTTGAAGAACCCCAAGTACAAGGTCCGCGCCGTCACGCGGAATCCCGATGGCGAGGCCGGCAAGAAGCTCGCCTCCCAGGTAACCACCACGCCCAATCCCTCCAACCACCCTCGAGCTCTCTCGACTAACACACGGTGCGAAACAGGGCGTCGAGGTCGTCGCCGGTGACGCTAACGACAAGGCGAGCGTCGAGGCCGCCTTCAAGGGAGCCGAGGCTGCATTTTTCGTCGCCGCGTACTGGCCCTCGGTCGCCACGCTCGGCTTGGTTGGTGCCGGAGAAGAGGAGCTGGTGCAGTACCAGAACGTTGCCCACGCGGCCGCCGCCTCGCCCACGCTTAAGCACCTCGTGCTCTCCACGCTGCCGCCAGCCGACAAGTCCTCGGGCGGCCGCCTCAAGGTCCCGCACTACGACTTCAAGGCCTATGCCGTCGACTGGATCCAGCGTACCCTGCCCGAGCTGTGGGCCAAGACGACTGAGGTCTGGCCCGGCTTCTACGACTCAAACTTTGCCGCCTTCGCCATGGTCAAGCCCCTCTACCTTGTAAGCCGCACAAAACTCCTGGCAAAGCAACCGACCTCCCCAGAGATACTAACACCCTCCCCCCCTTTCCTCACAGGCCGCTGCAGACGCCTACCTCATCCCCATGCCGGCCAAGAAGTCGAGCATCCTGCCCGTCGTCGGCAGCGTCGAGACGAACCTGGGAGTAGCCGTCGAGGCGATCCTCACTACAGGTGCGCCCGCGTTCAGCAAGCTGCTCGTGCTCGTGACCGACTATGTGGCGGCGGGTGACGTGCCGGCGTACTTTTCGCGCGCCACGGGCAAGCGCGCCGTGTTCCTCGAGTACAGCGACGCCGACATCATCACCGTGTTCGGCATCCATGGCGACGAGTACGCCGCCTCCATGCGCTGGGCTGCCGAGTTCCCCGTCTGGGAGGACCCCAAGGTCGTCGCCGACCGGACCCGCCTTCTCACCCTCGAGCAGGTCGGTCTCTCCAAGGCCGACCTTGTCGGCTTTGATGCCGGCCTGGCGCTGATCAAGGACAAGCTTGTCCAGTGATCTGACGTGGTCGTCGGGGACGGAGGCAAGCCTGTTTCGAAGTGGTGGCTCAATAGACTCTTGCAATGATGAAATATGAATACTTTTCTACGGTAGATCTCGTCTTTTCTTTTGGCTTCTCGTCTCCCGTAAAAGAATACCATTTCCCTATGAGGTGCATTAGGTAGGTATCTAGTCTAGGTACCGGCGTCAACCCTCACCCGTCTCGATGAGCCAGCCCGCACGTTACCTGACCCATGAGCAAGCACGTACATGTACATACTATACAAGACGGAGAAAGAATATAGAGAAGCAAGGTGGCAGCAGCCTTTATATTTCTGGCTTCTAATTACCACTTAAACAAAACCCCCTTTCCCCCTTTTACGCTATTCATTATCCATTCATTGCCATGACCCTATTGCTACCACGGCATGCCATAGAATCAAAAGGAATACGAAGCCAAATTCCAGAGAAAATTCGACACAAAAACCTGCAATTAATGAAGATTAATAGGTACCTCACTAGTGCAAAGCACCTTGCTTCCTGTCCTGGGCGGTGCCGGGTTTAACAAAGCTTCTCCTATCTTGTGCTGTACGACCTGTGCTACACATAGAGATCTCACCTCATCACTCTAATGAATCCCTAATTCTTAAGCAAGACTTGCTTGTTCCATAAGACAAACTGAGCTGTACGGAGAGTCTTAAATAGCCTACCTAATAAATGTAGTTGTTACTGCGCCATACTTAATGGCCTATTCTAGGTAGTGTCAACTAGTACCTTGGTTTTTATGAGGCGAGAGAAAATACCACTCGCGAGTACATACACATAACACAACAAAGCAGCGAAGTGTATCAAAAGACATGCTCACGGTTCCCATATCTCACACAGTTACCTAGCTAACCATCCAAGTCACGTACACGTTTTCGTTCGGCAATTTGCCACAAACCAACACACACGCACACATACGTACACAAAATATCAGTGGGAATAATTAATCGTCGTCCTCAAAACATGACTGGATGTGCAGGCTTTGCCAAACAAACATGAGACGAGAAAAGCTCAAAGTCATTAATTCACGTTGCTTTCAAATTTTTGTTTCTTTCATCTTAGATATTATCATCTCATCTTCCTCTTCCCCAACAACTCAAAATAGCGGGCCGCCGAGCCTGATAGCCACGCTCTTGTTCTGGGTATAGTTCAGCAGCGCGGCTTCGCCGAGCTCGCGGCCGATGCCCGACTCCTTGTAACCGCCAAACGGCAGTTGGTGGTGCAGCATGTTGTAGCAGTTGACCCAGACGGTGCCGGCGCGCAGCGAGTTGCTCACGCGGATGGCTGTGTTGAGGTCCTTGGTATGCAATGCGGCGGCGAGCCCGTAAGCCGAATCGTTGCCGAGCTGGATCACCTCCTCCTCGCTGTGGAACTTTGCGATGGCGCACACGGGCCCAAAGATTTCCTCCTGCATGATCTTCATCTCGTGCGTCACGTTGGTGAAGATGGTCGGCTGGATGAAGTAGCCCTTGTCGCCGTGCCGCCCGCCGCCCGTCTCGACCGTCGCGCCCTCGTCCTTGCCCGACTGGATGTACCCCATGATGCGGTCGTACTGGAGCTGGCTGACCTGCGGGCCTTGGAACGTCTCATGGTGGAACGGGTCGCCGACCTTGTTCTCCTCCGCCCGCTTCTTGAACGCCGCGACGAACTTGTCGTAGACGCCGTCTTGCACGTAGACGCGCGAGCCGGCGCAGCAGCATTGGCCGTGGTTGTAGTAGATGCCAAAGTTGACCCAGCTGACGGCCGCGTCAATGTCGGCGTCGTTGAAGATGATGTTGGGCGACTTGCCGCCGAGCTCGAGCGTCACCTTCTTCAGATTGGACGAGGCAGCTGCCTTCATGATGGCGCGGCCGACAATGGTGGAGCCGGTGAAGGCAACCTTGTCAATGTTCATGTGGGACGAGATGGCTGCACCGGCGACCTTGCCGAACCCCGAGATAATGTTTAGGACACCGGGAGGGAAGCCAGCCTCCTTGACCAGCTGGGCAAAGACAAGCCCGGACAGGGGGGTTTGCTCGGCTGTCTTGAGAACGATAGTGTTGCCTGTGGCAAGAGCAGGGCCGATCTTCCAGGCGAGCATCAGAAGCGGAAAGTTCCAGGGGATGATTTGGCCGCAGACGCCGAGCTATTATCATTCGTTCGATTAGCCGTTCGCCCAAACACGATTTGCCCTCCAGACCCATAAGCCTCGAGACTGTCACATACCGGCTCCTGCCTTGTGTAGTGGAACATGTCGGGCGAGATATCAATTGTCTTGCCCTCGATCTTGTCCGCCCACCCGCCGTAGTATCTGATGCAACCAGCCACGGCACCAACGTCTCCCCGGGCCATTGTGATGGACTTGCCATTGTCGAGAGACTCGACGGCGGCTAGGAGGTCCAGGTTCTTCTCGCAAAGATCGGCCAGCTTGGTCAACAAGACACCGCGCTGCTGAGGGGTAGTGTGGTGCCACGAGCCGTCAAACGCCTTCCGCGCAGCGGCAACGGCGATATCGACATCCTTCTCGGTAGCCTCGCTCACGGAGCAGATGACCTCCTCGGTTGTTGGGTTCACAACCTCGAACGTCTTCTTGTCAACACCCTCGACGAACTCGTTGTTAATGAAGCTGTGCGCAAGGGTTTCACTTGTCAGTCATGCAGCTAGCCATGCGCCGGAAGACCGAGGGGGGCAAGAAGCGGGGTTATGGGTGGTCCGGCAGACTTACAGTCCCGTGGGCTGCTTATAGGTGCCGGTAATCGGCGTCTTCAGCTCGGCAAATAGGTTCGACATTTTGGCGGGCGTGCAAGAGAGGAGGGCTTGGAGTCAAGATGTTTTGGAATAAGGTACCTAAGTAGGTAAGGTAGCTCGTAGCTAAGGTAAGGCAGCTGACTGCTTGATATGGAAGGGTAGCTCAAGCTCGAGGCGACGTCAGGTAGCTGGGGGTGGAGGAGGTAAATGTTTGAAGCTGGAGAAGAAGCACAGCGCGAGGGGAATAGGAAGATTGGACAAGTCTCGGCTGGGGTTCGGACTTATTTAAGAGGAAGCAGGGAGAGACAAAGAAGCCCGATAAAGTGGCGATGGGGGCACGCAGTAAATTTCCGTCTGCTCTTGGCAGCGAAGGCCGCATGCACATGAAGCGGGGTTATCGCCATCAGTAGCAGCGTATTGTGTTGCACCAAGGGCCAAAGGGAAGGCGGGCACGAGGGGGCACGAGGTGCGAGGAGTCCACGAACGGCCAATCCACCCCAGCACCTCCATCCGCCCTTTCCCGTCGAGCTAACTTCCATACCTTCCGTACCTACCTTACCTTACCAGCTTTCATACCTCATCTCTCTAGTTCCTAGAGACTAGTCCACATCCCAGGAAATAGGTACTATTATGGACCCCGTTTTTCATCTAACTCGCAGATATCCCAAACGACACATTAAGAGCTGAGGCAATCGCGGCGAGTTGCGATGGAAGCGAGTCAGGGTCGCCGGACGACGCGAGGCATTGACACTCGCCGACCCGCATTGCAATGGCTCGAACCCTCCGCTTCCCCGCATTCGAGGAGGGGGACATGAAGATGCAAGGAGGCAAGGAGGCAAAGAGGAGGGTTCGGTTTCCTGCCCCGCTCGGCAGGCAAACCGGACTGCAATTCGATACAGTAATAGTACCTATTGTGGTAAAAGCCGGGTCGGAGCAGCCCTAGGCGAGCCTGTATTATTCACCAAAACATACTTGCCTCCTTTTCCACTAATTGCCGGTTTAGCTCAACTCTCTGGCCATCGGGCGAGCGGCGACGAAGAATCCCGCGGGGAACTTGAGTGCGCTCTCCACTCCACCGACGAGTTTGGGGATGGGGATGGGGATGGTGGACGTCATATCAAGATCACTACCCCACATTGCGGGCTTCGAGGTTTGGCGCGGCGTGACTCGGCGCCACTTCAGCTGTTTTGCGAGACGACCAACTGCTGCCAAGACTTAAGAATGCTCCAAGTTTTATCACTAGCATTGTCGTGCTCGGCGGTGGAGGTCTCGAGCCGTTGTGTTTGAGAATTGATGCAACTTTCTCGGGTTGAGATAGAGCGAGTGCCAGATTGCAATCTGATACGTACAGAGGAACGGAGTACTCCGTACAGATACCCCCGGAAGTCTAGGCTGCGCCAGCGCCGCACATCGTCGGTAGGCTCCACATTTCCTCCGCTTCGCTCAGCCCTAACCCAGCAGGGAGAACTAGTAGGCAACCTAGGCGCTCTCAGACGTTCCTTCTCCCCGAATGTGACGCATTGCCAAGTGGCTGCGAAGATGGAAGGTGCAGCGTGAGGGCCAGCGGAACTTGAAGCTGTTTGAGGGGCCGAATTGGAGAAATCGAACCACTTGCTGGATGCGCCTTGCAATGCGACGGAGAGAGTTGTGAGAGAGCCCATGTCCAATTGAATGAACCCATAGAGTTTGAGGTACAGCCGAGTATAATTGTCAGTGTCGGCTCCCGTTATGTCGCAAATCCACGATACGAAATATTGGATTACAACATGATAAGAGCCAACACCCCCATATCCTACCTCCCGGCCTTATACGCAGCTGCGTAGGTACCTTCTATATGGATAAGCATACAAGAAATATCAAAATTCACACGATGGAGAGCTCAAGTGCTGCATGGTTATGCTACCAGGCCTTAATCACTGTCAAAATGGCGGACAGCGAACTGAACGGGTTCGCTATTGTCGGGCTGCCTGCATGCATCCAATGTTCGTTAACATCAGGCCGAAACTGTGCTTCAGTTCTATGGAGACAACCTGCGGCTATTGCATAGTTAATTGGTGGTTCCCTATTGTCAAGTCTTGTATAAACCGAGGTTCCGATGAAAAGATTAAGTGTATATATTTTTACAGAAGCAGAGAAGAAGTCAAAATGAGAACTTTTTTAGTTTCAGTGTTGGCGCAAAATTTTCGCTCTTTGCCATTTAATTCTTGGGGACTGTGTATCGGGAAAGTTGGGGCAAGAAATAAGGGCAACTTTTCGCATCGGGCGTCAGAAAATTTCTCCGACATCCCGGTACCCATCCTACCGCGCTCGACCGCCGCGACATCGCGTACCCACGTTAATCACGCCCACGACCCTCGAGGGCCGTGGAAGCGAAGCCAGCAAGCAGAAGGAATCAGGAAACAGAAAAGTCGAAGCGAAGAAACGACGAGCACCACCGACCATCCCAGCGACGCGTCGGCACCTCGACCCTCCGGCTCTTTGTAGCTAAGCTAATTGCCCGCAGTCTCCAGGGGGGGTAGTTCGCCTCGCCGCCTCAACCTAACGAGGTGTCAACTTGGAACCTTCCGACCTTGTCAATTTCCAACTAGATGGGCAATGCAGGAGTTTCTGAATTGACACAAGATGGACGACGCAAACTCCTCTCTCGAGGCGGACCTCTTCGCCGCCTTGGCCGCAGCGGATCCAAGGCCAGAAACTAGCAGCCAAAACCACACCGCGAAGGGCATCGAGCCTTCCCAAAACCAGACTGCTCAACTCTCCGACCCCGCTGCCCAAGACGCTCCGCCAGCAGCGGCCCAAGACCATGCGGCAGTGGCCCATGGTGGCCTGCCAACCACCCAGAACTATCTTTCACTAACTCAAGACTATCTATTGGGGCTCCAGGATCTCCAACCTGCACCTCAAGATCATGCGCTGATAACCCAAGACGCCCAAGATCTTGCAACGGCCCAGGATACTCCGGCCGCCTACGATACCCCCGTTACGCAGGCCCCTGTTTATGTTCCTCTCCCAGCTCCCCAAGAGCCCGCCAGAGCGCCCTCCCCAAAGCGCTCCCGAAGCCCAGAGCTGCCCGACGAGAGCAGTGCAAAGCGGCTGAAGACAGAACAGATTGACGGGGGCGGAGGGCACGGCACAATGTCTGCCGACTTGGCAGCAATGCTCAGTGATGCGCTGGCTTCTTTCGATGCCCATCCCCAGCCCGGGCCTGCGAACATGGACACGGATCTGAATGGCGCCCATGAGACTACGGAACCTCCGGCCCCGGCTCCCGACTCGGCACTGGCGGCCCTCGACGCGACTTCGACGGAGAAAGTGACTCGGATCATGAAGGTCGCCACAAATTCGACGTACGTGATGCGATCAATGAGTCTTCCCGTTTTGGGCAATGTTGCAGTCCAGATATTGCTAAGGCTCTCGCTTCAGTCTCGAGCCGAGATCGAGTCGCTATTGGCCGACCCCGAATCCGAGTTTCGCAAGGCCTACGACATACTGAAAAACATGTTTGGCCTGGCGAGAAAGATGTTCTCCGACTATCCTCTACTCTTCCCTGACGAGCTCGACATTGGCGATTCCGAAGACCGTGAGACGATCCGCATGTCGAATCTGGCCACGGCGGCCGCAGGGCTCTTGGTCGATATGGACTTGACCTTGGAAGAGGTGCACGACTCAGTGCTTTCGATATTCATCCCCGAGGACGGAGAGTACAGGGAGAATTTGACCGACTTCTTCGTCAACCTCAAGACAAGAGTCTTTCTGGATGCGACAGGAGCAGTAGATGAAGCCCCGAACATGCCGGGATTATTGGATAAGCTATTCCCTTCCAACTTTGATGAGCTTCTCAAGCAGCGCAGTGGCGATCAGATTCTGAACGGCGACGAAGAGCGCCTTGTGGATCTAGTCAGGTCGCAAAGAGACCTTGTGTTTGGAGCTATGGACGACGAGTCCGCTAAACGTCTGTCATCCTCTGACCTCCTGAGATGCGCCTTGACTGACCCAGCTTAGTGTTCTTGGAAAGCCAGTTCTCTTCTGAGAAGCTGGCCGAGAGTCTTAGTATCTTCTTACGAGACCACGTCCCCATTGTCGTAGAATATGCCGAAAGGTATGGTGTTAACATCCCATTAAGCGACGAGGGCGCAGGGGCCAGCCAAATCTCAGTCGAGAATCATGATCAAATAGAGCACGACAATTTGGCAGCTCTCATCCAGTCTGTCAGCCAAGATTTCACACATGAACATGTCGCCGAGGACATGCATACTAGTACACACCACGAACAGCACGACCACGACTCCACAGAGGACATGGAAAACTACAACCTCAGAGCACTGCTTGAGCACTCACTCTCTAGCCATGGCATCGAGCCCATAAGTGACTCAAACAATACCGGCGCTCACGAAACAACGGAAGGTTTCGACGCCAAGGACTTGGCATCCCTCATAAGTGAGAAGCTGAATGATAACCTCGAGGCATGTCACGGTCTCCCGGATGTTTCGGCGTTGAACTACTCTACCAACGACCGTGAAAACAGTCACGGTAGGTTGCATCCGTCTAGCGACATGACTCAAGGCTCACTGTCATTACCAGACATAAATCCTCAGTATTTGGCTCAGCTGAATGCGGCCAACTCGTCGCCATACCAGCCCTTTGCACAAAGCCCTGCCGTACCTCACGTAGAAGCCACCTCAGACCGTCTTCCCCCCAACCAGTCATCGCCAACCTCTGTCTTATATGAGAGAGCTCGCCAAGCCGCGGTTGCGAAGTCGTCCAATACCGCAAGAAGAGAAGGTCTCCATTCGACTAGGCGGCCATGGACTCCTGAAGAAGAGAAGGCTCTCATGGCTGGCTTAGACACGGTTAAAGGACCGCATTGGAGCCAGATCCTCTCTCTGTTTGGGCAGGCAGGCACTATATCGGACATTTTGAAGGATCGCACGCAAGTTCAACTCAAAGACAAGGCTCGAAACCTAAAGCTGTTCTTCCTCAAAACGAATTCGGAGATGCCTTACTACCTGCAGAGTGTCACTGGGGAACTGAAAACACGTGCACCCAGCCAGGCCGCCCGGAAGGAAGCTGAGGAAAAGGCACGCATGAACTTGGAGGATGACCAAAAACGAATTCAAGGCATAATGACACTAGCAGGTGGGCTACACAGCAACCATCGACCTGTCATGAGCAGCCCCTTGGCAGCTTCGTCGCCAAATCGCGGGAGTCCCATGTCTCAAGCGTTACAAGGAGGCAGTCCAAGCACAGGTGCCAACTCTGCTCAGGCCCCAGGAACAACGGCCTCTACATTCCCTCATCTTCAAAACTCACCCTTAGTGAAGACTGAGCCGGCGGAACACCATTCTACACAACAGGTAAATAAGCTGCCTCAAATACAGCCTGCACCAGCGCCACCTCAGCAGACGCCGATCGCTTTCAAGCCACAGCCGCCAATTCAGCAACAACCTCAAAAGCAGCTGCAGCCTCAGCATCAGCATCAACAGCAACACCCAACCCAGTTGGAGCACCAACGGCAACAGCAGCAGCAGCAGCAACGACAACAGCAGCAGCAGCTACATCAACAGCAGCAATATCAACAAACTCCGCAGCAGCAGCAGCAGCAGGCACAACCCCACCAGAATAACTCTCCGCCCTCTTTTCCGACACAGCCGCAGTCCCAGGCCCACAATTTGGGCCTCCCACAAGCTTCTCCAGATATGGGTGAGAACCATAATCAGACTTATGGTCTTCCACCTTTACCGCCCAACCCCCACTCCACGCCCGACCAGGTTCAGGATACCAAATTATTCGAGACGCTACAGGCCGCCATAGCTGCATCAGTCAACGATAACCACGTTCCCGTGGCTGCAATGTCGGAAGCCTCGGTAAATTAGCAATTCGATGGTGAAGATACGACCAGTCGTCTCTCGCAAGGACGCAAGGGACCAGCCTCGCTTGCTTTTGATGACGAAGAGCATTCCGTGTTATGACGATAGTATCTTTACAACATATTGAAATATTTCGGCGAATTTGTTGTCTGATTATGGAGGCAGGTGGGTCAGCAAGGACTGGCCCCGCTCGAACACGCAGGGCTCAAAGTTGGTATTAAAGCTATAGACGTGGTTTGATTTTGGTTTAAAAGCCATACCAGCGTTCGGTTGCAAACTAACACTGTTATTACCACGGAGGTGGGGGGATAGAAGGGATCGGAGCGAACTTAATCAAGCCAGAATGGCTTATTTCTTTGTCTGGTATATGTATGCATACATCTCGGCCACGGCCCTCCTTTGCATCTGACGGAGGGTTGCTACTCCTCTCTGGCTTGGAATGGCCTGGCCGGGGGGTAAAGGTTAAAAGGCAGGGTGGGCAATAGCATGGAAGGTAAACGGGGGGGGGGACGAGAACGGAGGCTGCTTGCGCTTTACACATCGCTGAGATACCAATTGGGACGATGGCGCTGGGAAGTCTTTTTTTGGCTTTTGTTTTCCGTCAAACGGGGAATGTCTTTCTTTTTGGAATTGTCTTCACAACCATAGTGTCTCTATCGTGGGAAGGGAGGCCCGCTTACCTTGCCCTCTATTTAGGAGTAGGACTAGAACTGCCTAGGTAAGGTAGTATGCGGACGAATTTGAGCGCCTTAAGTAAATCACCCCAGAAGACAGCCAAGGCTTTGTTTCTATGAAGCCCTATACTGCGGTATACAAGGTAACCAATTCTCTTTTCTTCTATCTTTTTTTCTTCTTCTGTTTTTGCTTCTGGAGGGGTGATGTAACCGACTAAAATCTCCCGTGTTACCGAGACGGGGGTATCAGAAGCCGGTAGTGAACCGCAGCGCAGGCATGGATGGATAGTATGCGAGGTGATACGAATGAATACATTGGGGTGGGGAAAGAAAACGAAAAGAATAAAAAGACTGTATGCTCTCATGCTGCACCTCTGTTCCTTCCCGCTGGTGGCGCTGCTGGTGTTGAAGTCACGCAAAAAAAAAAGCACAGGGACAAAAGCGCAAACCAACCCACAATAGCAACAAAGGAGAAAGGAGGGAGAAACAAAAAAAAAAGAAGATGGATGATAATGCAAATCAACAGAAGCCCCTGCACCTGCCTGCCTTCTCCCACCTTTCACCTCCCTCTCCGTCAATACCCGATCCCGCCACTCCTCCTCTACTGCCGCCGCCCATCCCCCAATGTATAAATAACAATACCCTTGTCTCAACGCCACTCAGTATGACAAGAAAAACAAAAACAAAAATCAGTCTTTTCTATGGATAAAAAAGACATGGACCCCCCCCCCCCCCCCCTGAAAAAAAGATAGATGCACCCAAAATCCAGGAAAGGAAAAAGAAACAAACATATTCACAAAAAAGCAGAGGTTTCGGGGATGGGGCCGTCAAGGGGGTAAAAGTATCATTAAACCACCCCCCCTGCCTCCCCTCTTTCCCATCTCCCCTTCCAACCTTCCCATTCCCATTCCCATTCCCATTCCCACTCCTCAACGGTGTCCGCGCGCCTTTATGCGTGCGTTTGAACCTTGCTGTGATAAACCCTGCAAGGACATGAAAAATATTATATCTACAGAAACGAAAGAAAACAAAGGCAAGCCGTTCTTCCATTTCCACCCTACCCCCGCCTTAGACTAGGTGGCTGCGCATCTCAGAGGAAATAATCACCCGGGCCCCGGCGATTAGCCGGGACATGCCGCTGGTCCTCTGGGACGGCCGCGAATATGCTAAACTTTGTTTTCAAGTCTCTGTCGACCGTCATGATGGACGCCACGTTGCCGCACCTGTAGCAGTAGTTGGGGGCAGACCAGACGGTCACGACCGACTTTTCCGGGAAGTGAAACTGCACGTTGCGAGTCAGATCAAGGTGAACAAGTGGGGTTGCTCTGCTGGCACAACATCGGACGCAAAACAAACCTTGTAGCCCTCGTTGACGAGCTGATGCGCACGCGCAATGGTGGTCAGGCCGTTGACGTGGTTGAACTCGGTGGCGACCTTGTCGCCGAACAGCCAGCCGGCGCCGCGGGGGCTGACGGCCCACGTGTCGATGTCCTCGGGGTCGCTCCAGACCAGGTCGCAGAAGGCGCCCTCGTGGGGGATCTCCTGGGCGCGGGCCACGACGCGGATCTGGTCGATGGTGCGGATCTCGGGGCTGAGGCCGCCGTGCACGCACAGCACGGTGCCGTCGACGATGGCGGCCAGCACGAGGAAGTCGAAGACCTGGCAGCACGCCTTCCACACCGAGGCGTTGCCGTACTTTTGCTGGCACTCCTCATAGAAGCCGTAGACCTGCGTGATCTGCCGCGACTCGTGGTTGCCGCGCACCAGCACAATCCGGTCCGGGTATCTAGATACGGGCCGAACAAAGCAGCGTGTCAGCAAGCCCCCCTAGGGTGTGGTGTGGTGTGCGCAGGATGTATAGCTGCCAAGAGTTAAAATCTCTATCTCACTTTGCTTTCAGACACATTAGCAGCGTGAATGTTTCCAAGCTGAAGTAGCCGCGGTCGACGAAATCGCCCAGAAAGACGAAGCGCGTGTCTGCGGACTGCGAGGTGGCCGTGGTGGCGGGTGTGGGGTCGGAGGTGTCCATCGAGTCCCCCTCGATGATGGTCTCGTCGTCGTCGACGACGCCAGAACTCGGGGCGTCGGCGTTTCTTATCCTCTTCCGGAGCTGTGGGTTCGTGATCTCGGTGGGGGGCTCGATGTCGTCGGGGGTGATGACGGTGGTGGCCGTCTTGGGGGGCTGGACGTCCGTGTCGCCGGGCATGCCGCCAGCGACGCGGAACAGCTCGAGCAGGTCGTAGAACTGGCCGTGGATGTCGCCGCAGATTGTGACGGGGGTGACGACGGGCTGGATGTTGGACTCCTCCATCAGCACCTCCTTGACCGTCTCGCAGAGCTGCTTCATGACGGGCTCGGGTAGATAATGGCACTGCTTGGCCTCCTCCAGCCATTCGTCCAGGCCGGCGCCAGGCCGGAGCCTCGCGGGGCCGGGTTTTGGTATGCTGGACATGTTGCGTGCGGCGGCGTTTGGCAGTCGCACCCAAGTGGAGGTATCGAATTACCCAGCCAAGTTGTGGAAGCTGGATGGATCGGGCAGTCGAGTCGTAGTATTAGGTTGAATGCGCGCGGGCGGGGTTTTTTCTAGCAAACAATTCAAGCAATGGGCGTTCGCATTAACGTGTATCGCCGTGTTCGGGTCGATCGGCTCGCTGGTGTTAAGTGAGGGGGGAGGGCGTGGATCGGGCTCGATGTTGGCTGGCAGGAGAGGGTCTTTGCTCTTCAGCTAGTCCAGAGGTTAGAAAGTGAACCTGTCTGTCTCCCGAGATTTACGCGCCCGCCATCCTGCCCTGCGGGCCTAGGGATTGGGGAGGGGCGCTCGCTGACGTGGGCCCGTGCGCTAAAAAGGCCGGCCTTGAGCTCCCCTGTGAAGGTTGCAGCTAGTGACATCTTTACCGTCCAGTGGGCAATTGTAGTTCAACTTTAAACTCCCCGCGCGCAATGCTTCTGAGATGATAACCGAGCTTTGGGATGGGGTTTAGAGGAAAGCTCTTCCTCAAAGCAAGACAGCCTGGAACCAGATTACCAACGACTTTGACATTGGCGGTAAAGGCGTCCAACTGCCGCTACCTATCTATCGGGCAGCTCGTGTGATCGGTATTCGTACGCTATCCGTACAGGGCACCGTATGCCACGGCGGCGCCCCGCTTCAGGAAAAGGAAGCCATCGCAGCTCTGGCGACACGGCAACCATAGCCAGCTCCTCCACGCCAATTTGCAGCAATCCGGCCGGGCCTGCCATGTCTGCCCCACAGGTCTTGTTGCGCAAGGCGAATGGCGTCACTGGCGGCCAGACGTCCAATGATGCGCCCAAGGCCTCCAAGCCGAAAGCCCTTCCCGAGGGCGAGAAGATGGTCATCCGCCGGCTCCCCCCGGGTCTGACGGAGGACGAGTTTGTCTCCATCCTCGGCGACGACTGGAAAGTTGGCAGCGGGAAAGTCGACTGGATGTCCTACGAGCTAGGCAAGACATCCCAGCAGTAGGTCGCCATCGTCAACGAGTATCTCGAATGTGTGAGTGCTAACCCACTGCCCTGCAGCCCGTCCAAGCCTTCGCGGCCGTCGCGAGCCTATCTCCACGTCACTAGGAGAGACGAGCTGCTTGCCCTCTCCCAGGCTGTGCAGATGGCTGTCTGGGAAGATGCCAAAGAAACCTACGGGGACCCGGCCCTCGTCGGCCCGCCTGCCCTAGAGTTCTCTATCTACAAAAAGGTCCCCGGCGACAAGAAGCGCTCGGATAGCCGCCAGGGAACAATCGACCAGGAACCTGAGTTTATGGCTTTCCTCGAGAGCCTCGCCAACCCCTCGGCCAACAAGGCAAGCGAAGGGGACCAAGCCGCCGAGGATGCTGCCAAGGCCGACAAAGCAAACACGACGCCCCTGGTCGAATATCTCCGCGAAAAGAAGGCTGCAAAGATCAAGGAGGCTGCAGCCGCCAAGAGCGCCAGGCACTCGCGACAAGACTCTCAAAATGCCAAAGGCAAGGCCGCCGCCGGTAGCTCTGACGAACCTAAGAAGAAGGGCAAGGAGTCAAAGTCCGAGAAGCCCTCGGAGAAGGCAAGGGAGTCGGTCAAGATCCTGACCAAGAAGGCTGCCGCCGAATCCGCTGCCGAGGCGGCAAAGGCTATTGCCAACCAGATACAAGCCAGTTCTCAGGCTGGCTCGCAGACTGGAGCATCTGATGCCCCCTCCAAGAGTCGACGAGCTGGCATTGCGGCTGCGGCGCGGATTCTACAGCGTGACTTGGGCCTCAGTCCGGGAAATGCACATAGGAAGGCTCGCCAGGAAGCGGCCAAAGCAGAGGCAGATGGAAAAGCTGCTCCAGCCAAAGAAGCCGCAAAAGAGCCCGCGCCTGTTGTCCCAGAACCCGCATCTCCTTCGACCCCTGTCGATCCTCCGGCGTCATCCAGCCCGTCCAAGGCCCCAGCATCTACCTCATCAGGGCGGAGTCGGAATAGGAAACGCGGCGCAGGTGATGACGCTGCCAGAGCTAAGGGAGATGGCAGAGGCGATGGCAGAGGAGAAAAGACTGCTGAGCCCTCACAACTACCGCCAAAACCGCCCGTCATTCTGCTGAAGAAAGATGCGCCTCTGCCCGCATCACTCCTGTCCCCATCCTCGTCGGCACCATCAAAGTCTGGCGCGCCGCCTCCACCTACCCCCACGGCGGCAACAAGCACGCCTGCGGGGCCCAAGACCACACCTTCGAAACAAGGTGCTGCTAAGAAGACCGGTGCCTCTGCAGGTCCCAGCCCAGGAGCCACGCGCGCATTTGTCAAGCATGCCAACCAATCCCAGGGCGTCACTGAGCCTCTTCTTAAGGAGGTCTTGAAAAAGTTTGGTGTTGTAAAGTCTGTGGAGCTGTTTGATAAGAAGAAGGGCTTCGGCTACGTCGATTTTGCCGACCATGATGCCCTCGTCAAAGCCATGAACTCGAGCCCCGTGGAAGTTGCACAAGCCTCTGTTCAGATCCTGGAGCGGAAGGACATGGGCAAGAAGGCGTCCGGCGGCAGCGCAAAGACTGCTACCGCGTCTGCGTCTGCTGCTGCGCCTGCCGAACACAGCACCCCAGCGCCCTCAGCTCAAACGCCAGCCCCGGCCCCAGCTTCCAGTTCCGGGCCTTCGACGGAGAAACCCAGCGGTACGCACGAGAAGAGGGGCGGCCGCCGGCGGGGTGGCCGGGGGCGAGACAAGGAGTCTAGTGGGAAGGGTGGGGACGGCGCTGGCGGTGGTGGTGATGGCGGCGGCGGCGGCGGCGGTTCGGCACCAGCTGCCACTGCGTAGATCTCCTATTAAAGAGAACCAAAAAGAAAAGAAAAAGGAGAGAAAAAGAAGAAAAAGACGAGGGACCTCGGTCAAGTATAGATATCGCATGACCCGAGGCAGAGGCGATGTATTTGAGCACGAATCCCTAGATAAGCGAACCGCTACGGCGAGGAAGAGCGTTGGGGATTTATACCATTTCGAGGAACACTAGGAGGATATTATGGCAATAAGTTAGATATTCACTTCACAGAGCGCGAGCACATCACCCCCAGAGAGCCAGGCAGACACTGTGCGGGTGGTGCTGCTCATAGCAATTCCCGCATTGGCTCACCTGGCATTATTGGTAGGCACTTTATGTGTGCACATCAAAAAGTGTATATTTCTATCTCCGTTCCAGCTACCGGGCCGCTGTGTTTGCCATTCGTTCTTTGTTTACGGGTTGCTGGCCGCTTTGCTTCCTGCCTTATGAATTTTCGATGCCAATTTCACAATGCAACACGTCCGTTCCTATTCCTTTCCGACTGCGGCTGCTCGCGCGCCACCTCATCCCTATCCACGGGGTATATGTAGATAGACTAGCCTCCTTGCTACAGTCCAATCCCTGAATGTTTGTTACCGGAGACTTTCAAGACAAGATACGACCTAGGCCCCGGCACCTTACGGTTCGCCCTTAAAGGGGTTTTTATTTTCGCCGAGGAAGACGATACCTTGGCTATTGGAAACCCCTATTATACAGCCCCCGAAGCCACAGCTGTCTCCATCCTGCGAATGAATGCCCTGGTTACCTTACAAAGTCTCTTCTAGGCTGAGTGTATTTCCCAAAAATTTCCCGGTTCTCTTCCGAGTACCGCACCAACAATCATCTGGGAGGGATTAGACTGTACAGGTCACGAAAGGGTAGCATCAGTTAGGGGTGAAACCCAGCCGCCCGTGCAATCAACCATGCAATCAATGACAAGATGTGATGAGCTGAGCAAGAAGAGAGCTGCTTCCCACCCATCTATTCGGTGAAGGCAAAACGGTATGTACCTAGTTTACAGGAATCTATCTCTAAGACTTCGGATAGACCAGACTGGCGCCCTCCAGCATGCCATGCTTCTTTCGGATTCCGTTTCGGCGAAGCTAGTCTGTATGCCGGTGTGCCCCTTCTAAGTACACCATTTCGGCGCGGGCTGGCTGGCTTGCAAGAGGAGTGAGTGAGCGATCTCCGCTTCATGGCACGAGGCGGTGAGTCGTTCGCCTACGGTATCTGCTACCTAGTGTTTCGGGCTTGTTGCTATCCTGTCTTGGTCCTGTCGTGGGTAACTGCCGGCGGTGAGATGGCATGGCATATCTAGGTAGGTCTGCAGTAGTAGGTATCATGGGATGCCGAGACAGAGACCGAAATCGAGACTGGCCACTCCAGAAGGGTTGGCAGTGTTGCGTAATAGGAACTGGGAATTCGGCCGTGACAGCAAGAATGCGGGCGATGAGACGGAATAGTCGTAGATGCCAGCCATCCAGTCCGTAAGTCCATGGCCAAGCCACAATATCTAGACAGTACCCTCTGTTGAGCTACACGGGCAGGTATCTATCTTCAAGGTTAAACCGACGCTTTGCTTGATACTTCACTCCAAATAGCTTCCCGAGGATCACATACGGCGGACGCAGAAATAACACCATTATTCGCTAACTCAACAACAAACAAACAGGCAGACAGACAGGCAATATACCCAGCAAAACCAGAACAGGACAGCCCAGCCAACCAGCCAACGAGCAGCAGGGCGGATGAAGAAACCAGGCAGGCAGTCTCTTGGCGACATACCTACACACAGTAACCGTGAAAAGCAAGATCAACAGCACCTGAAACCCTGTCTTGGATTCACCATACCAGCAGCCTCTATATATATCTCGGCTATCACCAGATGCAGCTACAGCACGGCACAGCACAGACTTGTCGGCTATCACCAGATCAAGTAACCCAGCCCGGTGATCGATCGATCGACCCAGAGAAGACAAAGGAAGGCCAAACAAGCTACGGCACAGCACAACACGGCATATCTATCACACAGCATAGCACAGCACAACATGTCGCACCGCACCGACACCAACACCGACACCGCACCGACACCACACCGACACCGCACCGCACCGCACCGCACCGACACCACACCGGCACCGCACCGCACCGCACCGCACCGCACCGACACCGCACGCCATGCTAGATGAACGATGGCAAGACACGACCATCTAGATACACGACTTCACTCACCCACCATCCTAGGTAGTAACACAGCGAGGCAGGCACAGACAAACGAGCATGGTAGGTGGTCTGTCGAAAAAACGAATATTGATTTTGATGTAACCGTCCATCTATAAATAATATTCAACCCATCCATCCACTCGGGCTCGCTCGCATAGCTGCTATCCAGCAGAGCGGCGGCGTATTTCCACTCATCCCATCCCATCGTCCCATCGTCCCATCTAAACATTGGAGACCCCCCTCACCATACAAATCATCAAAAAACCATGATACATGTCAACCAACCCAAACCAAACCCCTCTTGACAACTTCATCAAAATGAGTTGAAACATAATAACAACAATACACGAGACAGACGAGAAGGGAAAAAAACGCTGAGGTTTGCACGAAGGCGAGTTTCTTATCAATGACAAGAAAACAAAAAACCCCACCCCCCGGCCGTCCATCCATCCATCCCATATAGGTTATGGAGGAAACGTAAGAATACGCAAGCTGTGGGCTGCCGTTACCGTCACTCCCAATAAGCAAAAGAATTAAGAGAGAAAAAAAAAGTCTATGCCTTCATCCCATTACCCAGTCCGGATCCTATCCAGGTCGGCCCCATCTCTTCTATTGGTGATGATATGTTGAACTCGCCCCCCTCCCTAGATTTTTCTTTTCACAGCCTTTCCCAAGAGTAATGAAATGGAAAATGGTGGTATCCTCCTCCCCCCCTAAAACGATGTGCTAGTTTGCAAGGTCGAAGCCCCCAAAAGAGACAATTATGAACCAACAATGATGCCAATTCCTTTCCAAATGCAATGCCGGGTATTTGTTTGTGAGTTTGTTGTTGGTTGATTGCTGTTGTACAAGAAATAAATAAACGAACAAGAAAATGGGGGTATATATCTATCTAGAGAAGAAAAAGGGAAAAAAAATTGAAAACAGGAACTGATGTTGTGATGCGTGCTGTGTAATGTGTCATGTCTTAGGCCGGCCGGGTTTGCTGTGTCTTCCTGCAAGTTGAAGAAGGCGGGTGGGGTGTGTTGTGGTGGTGCGGGAACTGCGGGGTGTTCACGGCAGCAGGACAGCAAGGTGACGCAAACAAAACGCCCGTCCGCCCGCCCGCCTTCCCGACTCGGCAGCTTGGCCTTGACCTGGCCAATCGGTTTTCGGGGTAGGGATGGCCACAAAACCAAGCCCAACCGCCGCCGTGGTTAGCGGGGCCGCGACGCACGGGTTGAGCGGGAGGCCTAGCGTGCAGCAAAGGGTCCTCCAGAAATTCGACCAGGGGGCGGCGGGAGCGCACACCCCAGCACCAACAGGACGGAAAAGGTAATCTCTTTTTTTGGGTCTCGGTTCTTTTTGCGGCGGCCTCCATTCCGCCCAGGGTTCCTCTTAGCTGGGACAATGCGACGTCGCCCAGGATGACAAGAGGTTTGCAGTGGGGCAGGAATGAGGAAGGGAAGAGATTTTTTTGTCGAAAATGTCCGGAAAATGCCAACACAATGGGCAGCCCTATCGTGCAGGCCCCAGCCTAATCGGGCTTTTGGCATATATTTTTTTGTCGTGTGTGCGACTGTGGATTGGTGTCAGATATGCAGGTTCGGAGCGAACCTAACCTGGCGCTTTTGGTCGCAGATCGTCTCAACACCGCATCAAGCGCCTCACCTCCGATCGCGTGAGGACTTCGGGATAACAAGCGGGTACGGCTTGTATGACCCGTCTTCGGCTGGGGCAAATAGTGACGGCTCATTGACGAAGACCGAAGGGTGCGCGGCCCGCGGGACGTTGCCCGTGGCAGACTCTCGGTGGTTTGAGTACTGCGGCTGCGTGAAGGGAGTTGCGCTGTTGGTGTATGAGTATTGGCTGCGCGATGGCGATTGAGGGATAGTTGCTTGGGGCCGTGGTGCACCATGTCCGAGAGGCTCGGTATAGATGCTGTTGCGCCGGCGGCCCTTGGACGAATTGCTGCTGCTCTTGGTCGCATCGCTCTCGTCGGCGCGGTTGCCGCCTTCGAATCGCCTCCGTAGCCGTTCCGTATCCAGATCTTGCTGTTCAGGTTCCTTGTCGCGCTCCTTCTCCCTGTCCGGGTTCTTGCTGCGGCGCTTGCTCTGGCTTCGCCGCATCGTCTTCTCGTCTGACGAATCTGCAGGGAGAGCGCCGCTCATGACGGGAGACGAGGTGCTCTTTCGGCGCGCTTGTTTCAATTCCCTGTTCTTCGCCTTGAGCTCGTCCATCTTCTCCTTGAGCTCCTTGACCTCTTTGTTGAGCTGCGCATTCTCGTTGACCAGCGTCTCGTTGCGGTTCTGAATAGCGCGCGACTGGGCTTCAACGTTCTTGATCTCTTTGCGTGACTCGTCGTCAATGTCCTTGATCTCCTTGCGGGCTTGGGAGAGGAGGGATTCGAGCTCAGCGGCCTTCCTCTCGAGGTCGGCGGCCCTCCTCTTGAACTTCTCTCGCCCTTCCTCGGCGCTCTTCAGCTGGTTCTGCAGCGTGTAGATGTTGGAGCTGTAGTGGCGTTCGTTGTAGTCCGTGACGATGTAGGTGCTGCGATCAGGGTGTGCTGCGCGAGTGTCGCTTCCACTGAACGAACCAACTCCCGAGTCGCTGAGGCGGTCCTCATAGGTGGGCGGGCCACCCGTCGGCGAGCTGCGAAACTTGACGCTTTTGGACATATTTGCAGCGGGCGGCGATGCGAGCCTGTAAGGCTAAAGCAGCAGAAAAATGTGTTGTGTGCTGATTTGACCAGCGAGAGGGCGAGCGCTGCACCAGTGCCCGACTGGTTATAAGAGAC